CGATGGCCACACGCTGATAAGTTGTCTGTGTTTCCGCGTCACTTTTGGAGTGACCAAGGTAGAGCGCCGCCCGTAACAGGTCAGCCGCGACCGCAGCGCCTCCCCTGCCGTGCGCCGCTCCTCCCACGGCACACAGCAAAAAACCTTCACCGGGTGGCAGCAAACAGATTAGTTAGGGGCGTTAAATTGCAGTGCCATTCAGCTGCATCTTTCTATACTGCGCTCAGTGAACGCTGGCGTCGATTGTCAAAAACCTGCCAGCTATTGGCGTTTTTACCGGTTCGGATGGCCGAGGGGGCCGTGACCCGGTGCGCGCTCCATCGTGACCATTTCATCACCACAGGACGCTTTTTAGAGGCGAAACTGGCGTCTAATGAATGCTTCACGTCACTCACGGCGGCTGAATTGTGTTCACACCCGCCGCAGCGGCGCAGGGAGCGGCCAGGCGGCGGTATTGGGAGGCGTCCGCACCAGACCGTACAATACAATTTACCGATGACTAGTAAATTGCAGTAAAACCAATCACAAACTGTTGTAAAGTCGTTATACGTGCTTATAAGTGTAGAATGTAAGTCAGGAGCACTTTCACCAAAAGACGCATTGAATTGTGTGCCCAATTTAATATGGTCTTCCTTCGGCAGCTATAACACAGGTTCACGCCTATGGCCAGCGCACGCCGCCCCCCCCCCCCCCCTGTTACTGCCGATACAAGTCCGTCTACACATGTCTCATCTCACCGTCTGGGAGGAGGCTATTCGTCTCGAGAAATCAGATCGGTTAATATTATTAATTTATTTTCATTCTTATTGTTCTTTTTTGGTCGAAATAAGAATACCTACCACGCATGTAGTGAGAGAGGACTGCGCTGAAAGACCTCTTCTCAATGCGTTAAAGGTATATTCTAATTTCACCACATCCGAGAGTAAGGTCAGTAGACCGGAGTGGTACGCTCCTACGGACTAGTGGGCACGGGACGTCACGGTCAGGAGGCCAGAGTGGTACAGTCCGGATAGTGGGAACGGCCGGCAGGCCGGAGTGGTACAGTCCGGATAGTGGGTACGCTCAGGAGGCCAGAGTGGTACAGTACGGTCAGCAGATCAGAGTGGTACGGTCCAGATAGTGGGTACGGCCAGGAGGCCGGAGTGGTGCGGTCCGGTCAGCAGGCCGGAGAGTGGGTACAGCCGGCAGGCCTCTGGTGAGAGATCGCTGGACTCCTCGCGGCTTCAGCGTCCCTCTGACTCATTAACATAAATATCGGATGTATAATAACATCCACCTGCAGGCACGTGCTCAGTAATCATTGGGCTTCTTGCACCGAGTGCTTCTTCGCCGCCAGTGATCGCAATTTTCTCGTCGATTTTTCCAAAGTGTTTATGTATGAGCGTCCGCCATCTGTCAATCATAATGTGAGGTTTATTTCAATCCTGGAATTCAATCGCGTGCATGTGAGCACTTAAGCTTAGTAAGTGATTAGGCATCAAGCAATGAGTCACACGATGTCTTATTGCAGGTAATTGGCGACTTTTATGGGCGTTTATATTCATATGGTGCTATTTAGACATTCATATCGCCTAAATATAGGTGAGGCATGAAGGTATATATGCCCCGCGTCCCTGAATGTTCCTCAGTTCGAGAAAATGCCCGCATTGTAGGCGTTTTATGGCAGCAACTGGCATACATCAGATACCTGGATATAGTATTTAGTAAGAACCAAGAAGATATCATGGTTCATCGTAACGGGTCTCATTGTCTTCACGCATCAGTCGTGCAGGGCACGCGCGCTTCATGGCGACTTACTTTCCTATGTACCGGCAAACAGCAGGTCGGTTAGGCTGCACACGGAGGCCGTACCGCGCGCGTCTGCCGACCGCCGTCCTGGCTTACAGACGGTGTACCGCCCTCAGTGGGACGGGGCCGGCCCACGGACCCCCAGGTCCTTCAGTATCGGCCCGGGGCCGACCCCAGATCCTGTCCCGGAGCACTGGCTCGCAGCGGCCCCGGGCGCCCCTCCGGCACCCAGCCCTGACAAACAGTGCACCATCACCCCCGCAACAGGACAAAGCCCTCGGAAACACCCGAACGAACGCCCTCCGGTCGCCGCCCCACGCACGGACTTGAAAAAGCCGCTCCAGCCCAAGTGATAGCTGGCATAGCTCAGCCTGACGACTGTCCAAAGACAATGAGCTGGCCCCTGTCCGAGCCATTTGCCAGCGACAGCGGCCAACGTCGGAGACAACGCGAGACACGAACGTGCGGCGTAGGACACACGTGGCACGTGGGCACGGAACGTGCTGGCGAGACAACGACGCGTTAGACGCTCATGTAAAACTTTAAACCAATGTGACGTGAGAGAAACGCCCACAAGGATTGTAGCGCTTTAGAACTGAAAGTGAATGTGGTATATTATACAAATGCGAATGTAAAGGTGCTTCACTACTTTTCTCTGTCCAAACAATGACAGACGTAGAACGGAAAGTGCACAATGCACGCGGTGTCCTCAGATGCAGACATTTCCCTACATACGCTGAACAGGGAGCTACACCTAAGACTCGCTGTTGACGAGGGACGGGGCGCAGATAATCGAGCCAGTGATATATGCGACTGCGGTGCTTATTCACGGCTCACTGCCGACTGCCGTACATACGTCACGACCTGTAGTGGCCCACCCAGCCGCCCCGGGGAGCGGCCGCCGTTGAGCTAGGGTGACGCCGCCTGGCAGACGCCCATAGTCCATTCTATCCAGGGCATGGCCCGCTCGACAGACGCCCCTATCCGGCCATCATCCTATCCAGAAGGTCCCGCTCGGCAGACGCCCAAATCCCATACTATCCAGGGCATAGCCCGCTCGGCAGACGCCCACATCCCATCCTACCCATTGGGCCCCTCGGCAGACGCCCAGACCACATCCCATCCTATCCATGGACGCGCCCGCTCGGCAGACGCCCCTACCCTGCACCCTACTCACAGCTCAGGGCAGGACACGCTCGGCAGCATCCTGTGCCCTGCTGCAGGACCCAGTCCCGAGGTCGGACCCAGTCCCGAGGTCGGACCCAGCCCCGAGGTCGGACCCCGCCCCGAGGTCGGACCCAGCCCCGAGGTCGGACCCAGCCCAGAGGTCGGACCCAGCCAACACTGGCCGACGCTGATGCTATTTAGGCGTCGACTATTAGATCTCATCTGCCGGCTGGAGGTTTATGGGCAGATTCAAAATACAACCGACAGCTGATTTATCAAACGGCTAAAATGGATGTCAATGCATATGTTTGCAATAAAGAGTCTTGCAGTAAACAAATAATTGCAAAGCCGAGGCCAGTAAATGTGTTGCTGACAGCGTTTAACCCGCGCACCGACGGGGGTCTGCGCCAACTTAGTACCGACGGGGGGGGGGGCGGATGACCGCCCCCCCCCCTGAGATCTCGAGAACGAAGCAAGATAGCGACAAGCGGTAAACGGCATCGGATACGCACGGACAAGGTCTACAATTTTTACTAAGGTCATTTTCAGGTCAGGTCAAAGATGACGTCACAGGGGTCGAAAAAGTCAAAATGGCGGCGCTAGATATGGAGAGGGTTTTTCTCGAATAACTTTCGAAGTAGTCAAGATAGGAACAAACTAAGGGCATCATCGTGATCCTCTCGTCAATCCGCATCGAATGATATATATGTTGACCTCGAAAGGTCAAGGTCAAAGGTTGACCTCAGGTCACGTGACCTCGAGGTCGTCATGTATATCATTCGATGCGTCTTGACGAGCTGAACACAATGAGACCATCCGCGCGGCTGTATCTTGTTCCTGTAAGGAGTTATTGGCAAAAAACCTTTGGTGACCTTTGATGACGTCACATGACCTTACAGCTGCCCAACAGCAAAACAGACCTCAAGGTAGTGAAGGTTGATCGCATGTGAAGTCATGTATGGTATATGGGGCCATTCCGACCCGTTTTAGTGGTAAAAACAGGGAGTTGATTTTTCCCCCATTGACTTATAATGGGGAGGTCGCGAAATTGACCTGACCTTAGGTCACCGACATCAAAATTCCGAGATATACAAATTGTAGCTACTAATGACCTAATAACATCCTGCGACTTTCAAAGGCCTCCGACATCTACTGTAGCTCTGGCACGGTGACAAAGTTGCAAAAAAGTGACTTGAGGTTGGGTCATTCAAAGTGACCTGGTGACCTGACCTTAAAAGTTAAGAGGTTCAAACTTGCACACCATGTGTAAAATTGATGAGAGAATAGTCATACCAAATTTCGCGGCGCTACGCGCCGCGGTTTTCCCGCTATCCGCGAAAAACCTCAGGGGGGGCGGATATCCGCCCCCCCCCGTCGGTGCGCGGGTTAATTAGTTGCATATGGCGATGAACTATTCCGGCTGTCCAGTAAACATGTAGCGGTCAGCTGTCTGGACGACAGGACGACAGGTGACCCTCAACGTTCAACTGATGGCTGAACCCTTAACCCTCTGAATGCGCTGATGCCCCGGGGCGTCAGGGGGCGTGCGGTGAAGCTTAGGGCGGCACGTGTCGCACGAGAGAGGCAGCCGCCCCAACCGAGCTGGCGCGCTCCGTGGCCGCATCGGTACCGTGGCGAAACACCGACGGAGTGGGCTGCAGACTGCAGAGCCCCCGTTCGGCCTTACGGCGGAGTGGGCTGCAGAGCGTCCGGTCGACCTCACGGCGGAGTTGGCCGACAGCTTGAACAGCTGCAGGGGCCTGAGGGGCGCTACATTGACCTGTGGGGCGCTGCAGTCGACTGTGCGGAACTGCAGGGGACTGTGGGGCGCTGCGGAGACCTGTGGGGCAGTTATGGACACCAGTTGACTCCAGCCCTCTCCCTGTCGGGTGACCCGTGTGGCCTGTTGTCAGGTGACCGGTGTGACCCGCTCGGGCGGGACTGACCCGCTCGGGCGGAACTGACCCGTGCGGTCGGGACTGACCCGCTCGGGCGGGACTGAACTGTGCGGGCGGGACTGACCCGCTCGCTCGGGCGGGACTGACCTGTGCGGGCTCCTGCCGGTGCCAGCTGACCTCCGGGGCCGGGTCGCCGACCACCTCACAGGTCACCGTCACCGAGTCGCCCTCCAGCACGTGAGAGGACACCGGGTCACGCACAAAGCAGGGCGCCTCCACCGGCCTGAAACACACACAGCAGACCATAGTGACAGCAGTGGACCAGAGCAGAGCCGCAGAGACATCAGCAGCCGTCAGTAGTTCATAGCAATAGCAGTCGGAGAGATCCGAACCAGTCATCCCAAACTCTGTCCCGACGGAGGGCAGAAATGGCCTACTGAAGTGAATCAGTTTCACATGCTGGGTGAAACTGATCCACTTTAAAGGGACCCTCCCACCTTCAAAAAAGTTAATGAATTGGCATAAAAGTGATGTAGCGTGAATCACAAAGAGCGAAAATGAACATCTACCAAATTTTACCGGAAAATATTCACCCGTTTTCGAGATATAAGACTTTTATTTTTGTTTACTTTTAGGGAAATCCGCTGTTTCTATGACGTCACATAAAGGTTTTCTTTACGTCGGCATTTGGAAGCAATAGTTTGGTATCAAAGTGCGACAAATATTGCGCGAATGATGCGTTTATCTTATCAAGGTCAATATATGATGGCCAATAAAGGATTCCAGGACAATTCTTCTTATGGCATTTCTTCGTATCGCAATTCTTCGTCTGCAAATCTTCGTCAGGGCATTTATTCGTACCTATCGCATTACTTTGTCTCGCACCAGGGTATATGAAAATCGGCTCGCATTTCTTCTTCAACGCAAATATATGCAAGAGTAAGCATTGAGGGACAAATAAATACACCGACGAAGATTTGTAGACGAAGAAATGCGGACGAAAAATTGTGCTACGAAGAAATGTCATGCGAGGATTCGTTCGGGTACCATGACATTTATGTGATTTCAAAGTCAAGGTTCACAGCTGATCTGCTAAATCAAGCCAAGAATCCAAACTATCAAAAAACTATAAATATTTGTTTGTCTGTCACAGAGGTCTCAAGCAATATAAGGTTGACATATGTTGGATCAAAAATCTACTGCCACAACTCACATCTCCTGCCTTAGTTTATCATTGTTGTTTTAACTTGCTTTCAAGAGAAACAGAAGCCAGTATCTGATATCACTTCAGATGATTGTTTCAAGATCTGAGTTCAAATGGAAATAAAAGCAAGATCAAGATGAAACAGGGATTATTGCTGTTAAAGTAGTTTGGCCATGATACAACAAGCACATAAATCATTAGCCAAATCAAATACTGGTTGGTTTGTCAAGATGTTTGTTGTCTGTCGTCTGTCGAGCTGCTATGAACACTGAACGCTCTCACTAGAGAGTAGTTTAAGTTGAATGGTAGTGAGCTGTAATTAGACAAAGCAGCTATTCAGTGCTCACATCAAGCCAGGCTAGGAAATGGCATCAACTGTGGTGGGAGGAAGCAGGTTCGGCAGCCCTATGTTGTAAACTTCTGTTATGTCTTGTGTTTGATCAACTGATGTTTTCTGCTCTGTTTTGTGCAGTGATAGTAGCAGGTAACTGCATGCTTGTCAAATTATGTGAATAAACGAATTCATAACATTGCATTTTTCTCTCCATGCAAGGAACAAGTAAGATGTTGTAGAAAATGTAATAGAGGGCTGCATTGCTGATTTTGCACTTTATCAGAGCTTTATTTAGAATTGCTTTCCTGAAAGCTACACACAGACCACAGTGCTGAAATTCACAATGTCATAGCTTTTGGCAGAAAAAAGAAAAGACTTACCTAGGTAAAATTGGCTGAAAGTATGGCAGAGCAGGTCTCGATGCGTATGCCCATCCGTGTGCTTGCCGAAGCCGAACTGACTGCAACACATTTAACTCTGACCCACCATGGTGGCTGGCATATCCTGAACTTTCACCACTCTAAACAAGACAACTTTCAGCCCTCAGCATTGTATTAAAACACTGTACAAAACACTCAAAATTTGTTTCAGTGCCATCCACGGACAACATCAGTCGCCATTCACCAGGCCAGTAAAAACAGAATAGATAATAGCTTCAAACCCATGTAGTCAGAGTTACTAGGTCTGCACCTCAAAACAAAATCCAGGTGACATTCACCACGCCAGTAAAAAACAGGTACTTAGGTAACGTAACAGCTTCAAATCTGGTAACATGTTGGTCGGACTTTACACTACCATATTTACATGGAATAATATGATACCAAACAATAGTGCAACCATTCTGGACAACAAAAGTGTATGATAAAATTAATTTAGAATACTCTGGCAGCATGATTTACGAGCACAGGCAGGTGTTACCTACCAGCCTTCTCAATGCTCGTAAAACCAACATTGTAGTTTTGATTTTACCTTACATGATAACACACTTGGCTGCAATGGCACATTCAATTTAATACTGTGAAAAGACCAGTTATAACCACTTCACAAGCACAATTGCACCTCATGCCGACATCCTTTTCCAAAGACAGTCAGCAGCGTCTTTCGTCTAAACTGGAAGATAAATCCCCTTTCAACTGTTAACATCAAAAATATTTCTTCATGGTGTGACTGTGATCTCCATATGGAAACCTTGCAGGGAAAGAATTAATGTCAATTGTCAGCTCTTCAAATTTCTTTGGACTTTAACTTGCAGTACCATATCCAGTTTGCTTTGATATTTTGTTTTTTATTCCATGTTGAAGTTGAACACCAAGCTCCAGATATAGCAGGCAGCTTGATCATCTTCGGCCTTGGTATAATATCAGTCCAAGTTCCAGTGGTGGGTATCTTCTAATATTCAAATTAAAATGAAAAGCAATAGGCTTTCTCAGCGCCGACGACGGATTTCACGTTGATAAAAAAGGGAGCTCAAGGTCAGCAAAACTCGGGTTCAAGGAATGGCGGGCGTTGAAATGACTGCTGACGTCATCAAAAAACCGCTAATGGTTAAGAGATAGGGACTAAGCTGGTCCCACCCTGCAAGTAAAGGGAAGAAATTTCTTGAACACCATAAAGCTGCGGGGGTTGCGACCAGGATAAATGGTGGTTTCTGAGCCTGGCCGCAAACTTGGCTATCTCAACTCAAAACTAATGTTAAGGTGGGATGGTCCCTTTAAAGTGCGGCATGCCATGCGAACCAAAACCGAACACCTAGCCGATAGCTATGGCTGAACAGCAGTGAGCGTCTATAATCGTCCTGGCAAAGCCTACTTTTCTGCGCAGAGCAGACAGCCCTGTCGAACGCCAGAGCGCAAACCAGCTCTTCATAACCGTTCAGTGTTCGTTTTAACCGCTGACACAAGCCATTTCATTTTCGGCCGATCGGCACCTGACCGCTATTCTGAGCGGCGGCGCACACGCGCGACCGGCCTCTAATTACGCCCGCGGCCCCTCTGCAGCTGGCTCGGACCGGCCGCGGCTCTGCACGCGCTCCGGTCGTGCGCCGCAATCGTCCCCGGACGGAGGTGCGTGAGTTCCATCAGGGGCCGCCGGTGAGCCATAGCGCCAGCCGCGGGCCGGGCCGGGCCGGGGCGGGCCGGTCGGCCGTCACCTCAGAGCGCACCATACCGCCAGACACACGGCGGGCGGGCAGGCAGAGCGGATCAGCGTGTCAGCTCCAGTACAGATTAGTACTGAGTAACGGCGCCGGTCAGCGGAGCCGGCGGGCTTCGTCTCGGGTCTGCGATGAATTTGCACCGACATAGTGCATTCGAGTGCACAGTGTACCTACTTACTGCCTACCGACGACAGCGCAGAAAATGTTGTTTTTCCCATGTCCCTAGAAGTCGATACAGTTAGCTTTGCATGATTCCGAGACGGATGGACGTTTCCCCAGTCCCATGAGCCGATCTGGCTCTCCAGTTCCGTCGCACTCAGCAAGGGGAGTCCCTACCACCGGTACCCACCTGTCGGGGAGTGTCCACCCCTGCACTCACCGGACACGGAGTCCCCCGGCACTCACTCGTCGGGGGAGTCCCTACTCCCTGCACTCACCCGTCGGGGGAGTCATCCCTGCACTCACCCGTCGGGGAAGTCCAGCCCCTACTCCCTGCACTCACCCAAAGGGGGAGTCCAGTCCCCCCCCCCCCGACACTCACCCGTCGGGGGAGTCGAGTCCCTACTCCCTTGCACTCACCCGTCGGGGGAGTCCCTACTCCCGGCACTCACCCGTCGGGGGAGTCCTGCACCACCAGCCGCGTGGCCGTCACCACGCTGCCCATCTCGTTGCTCATGGTGCACGAGTAGTTGCCGGCGTCGCCGTGAGAGGCGCTGCCGATGCGCAGCGTGGCCAGACCGTTTCCGTCCAGCGAGAGCGTCTGCCGGCGCGCGATTCGAACGCGCCGCCCGTCGCGGTGCCTGCGGGATGGAGGCACCGGCTGAGGTTAGGTGGGCGCACATCACACACTCAGCCGGCGGGGGACAGGGATAACGGTCAGCCATGGCAGGTGGTATCCAACGGGACCTACAATGGAAAAGACAGAGGCGGATCCAGCTCAGAGTTTTTTTTTGGGGGGGGGGGCAAACCATAATAATTTATCGATTCTTTCCATGCACCGTCCATAGGCGTAATGTTAAAATCATGCCGTTTGGGGGGGGGCAAATGCCCATTTTGCCCCCCCCCCCTGGATCCGCCACTGGGAAAAGACACGGTTATGTTCATCCTGGAAAAGGACTAGTCGCATTGTGAGAATAACTGAGGAAAAGAATAACACATTTTAGTGACAATAAAATTGGTGGACGTGAAACAAATACAATATTTACATGGGCGCTTACATTCCTAGGTGTTGCCAGCTTCTTGCAATGGATCAAATTTAACGAGGTAGTTTACTAGCATGAAACTCAAATGTGATAGGTAGCGCAGCCGTTTGGCAATGACGTTTTTATTTGCCACGGCTCATGTCAAGAGAACACTCGACAGATTTACACTCGGTTCCCGTCCTGGAGGCACGAACCGCTCATAATCCCCTCAGTGAATGCCCCCAGATATGCAGAGTGCCTTACAACTCCAGCCTCTTAACAACTAGGCATACGGATGCCGTGGAATTTTGACTGCCGCTTCCCAAATGAATATTGCAAAGTGAGGGTGGACTGCATGTAGGAAAGCTTACAGGCAACGTGTATAGGTACTTGTGAGTCACCAGGTATCTGCAATACCTCTTTAACTAGATAAATACCTATTACCTAGGTAGCTTATAAGTTATTATTAACTTGTATGGTTGTGAAATAAAATCACAAACCCAAATACTTCATAATTCAGCTAACAAAAAGAAGAAGAAATATTTTCCCATTAACTATAATAGGTATACGTTTTGCCTGCCTGATCTGCAAATCATTGCTCCATACGTTATTCGCCAGTGCCCCGTTCTGCAGTGATCAGTGGTCGGCCTGGTCGGCACCGCCGCCCGGTCCGGTCGAAAGCTGCCCGCTATCGAAGGGACTGGAGACATGCGCTGATGTGTTTCAAACGGTGGCATACTGGCACTGATTCCTTCGGGCATTAAGCAAGGGTTTTTAAACAATTAATGGAGCTTCGACAAGACAACGGCATCAGCTCTTTACCATGCAATATTACAAATTGCATTTCCAATAGGTAGCCGGCCATACGATTCCTGTGAAATGAGTATTGTATTTTATTACCACTTTCCAAGCGTAGGTTACGCAAAACTTCCTAATAATACAAACAAGAATCGAAAGGACGGGAGAGCTGCAGACGGGCTCGGCCTGATCTTCTATTGCGACTTTACAGCGGAGCCTCAGCGTCGCTCTGACGTATGTGGAACGGCATATAAATGCACACTGATATTGTCTCGTCCATCGCGGCTTAGCGCCCTCCATGGCTGCTATATTGGTCCATTACTGTCACCCAGCGGAGGCGAATCTGTACGGGCGGCAGTGGAGGCGGCTCGATGGCGTTTAACTTGTACTAATGTCGGCTCAGGCGCGATGCATGGCGCGGAGCGATCCTATCGTCGGGGCACCGGCAGCCGGCGCTATGCGGACTCGCAGAGCGGGCTCCTGGCAGAAACCATTCAGAGCGCGACTGAAGGGCCATCAGAAGTCTGTAACACCGGGCCCCGGGCTACCTGTTATTCACGGCATCTCGTGATATCGCGGTATCTCCCATAACGCCCGCCTAGTTAGGGCTGAGGGTGACGGCCAAATGTAGGCCTGGTAATTGGCCAAAGGGGTGCCGCGGAGGGCGCCTGGAGACGGGCTGTCCGCCGTGTGTCCACTGGGGCGGACGACCGCCGCAGAGGTGACGCGGAGGGACGTACTGAGTACAAACGCCTGCAGTGTCCGCGGAGGGGACGGGGAGGGGACGGGGTGGGGACGTACTGAGTACAAACGCCAGGTGACCGCGGAGGGGACGCGGAGGGACGTACTGAGTACAAACGCCTGGTGTCCGCGGAGGGGACGCACTGAGTGCATATACGTCATATCTCCGCGGAGGAGGCGGTGGCGGACTGCCAGTAATACCTAAACATCTTAGCATCTCATAGTGTAATGTCCTTCACCTATTTTCAGTCAAAATAAATCGGCATGACAGGCTTACGCTGAAAATAACTATTAACTATGAATGTCAACAGTACAGCAACTGCAGGATCATTGTAATCTCGCCACCTGTTCCAGTTTCGGCGGCTGAGCTCGGCGGGCGAGGTGTGACGGTGCGTCTCGGTGGGTTTTATTACACTGGTGTGAGTCCGGCGCAGCCTTACATCAGCCCACTTCGACAGCCGGGGTCACGGGTCAGGCTCGCTCGCCGGGCGCGGCCGGCCCCAACCGCTGAGCGATGCGCTGGAAACCAGGCCGTTTAAAGTCCCATTGCTACGGCATGCTCATAATTAATGCAATTCTGAGTAGACCGCAAGTTTTATGAACGTGCGAATAAATTGCGTAATTTGTATGGAGACGATCCGAGTTTCCCATAATAATTTGTGCGTTGTTAGCAGTGCAGTACGTCAGCCGGCGGCCTGCGCCCCGTCAGTGGCCCCAGCCGGGCTCCCTGACCTCGGACGACCTCGGAGCCGCAACCTGCCGCGGCTTCCAGCGGTGACTAGCAGCTTACCGCGAGTCAGCTCGCCGCTCTAATGACAATCATTTATCCTCGCAGGTTACAGTAATTACGTTTGTGTCCTTCTGCCACTTTAGGTCGGTCCAACATTTTATATTACAATAAACGTGGAATGTCATTTACTGTTTTGCTGTCTCCCGGACGACTCGGGTCCACTGTGTCACTGTCTCCAGATTTACTCCAAGTCCAGGTTTACTCCATCTGCTCTCCAGGTTGCGTCGCTGTCTCCCGGACCCCGGTATACAGGAGTAGTAAAGGAATCTTGGGTATACAGTGACGTTGTCTCCCGGACCCGTGTTTACTGTGTCGCTGTCTCCCGGACGACCCACGCCGGGTCTAGTGAGTCGCCATCTCCCGGGTCCCGGTCCCGGGTCCCTGCCACTGAGTTAGGGGACAGACGCCTTATCCGCTGTGTTATACGGAGCACACGATGGTGCTTTATTGGGCATCATTGGGGGCCTTCTGTGTGTCTAATGTCTATGGCACAGGGTCACTGCAGGCTGCGAGAGCCGACAGTGTGCTGTTGTTTCCGCGTACTGGCGGTGCCGTCGGCGCCACCTGCGTCCGAGCGCCGCTGGCGCCACCTACCAGAGGACCGAGATGGCCGGGTAGGCGGTGCAGCGCGCCTGCAGCTCCAGGCCGGCGGTGGCCGACACGCGGGTCACCTCCGGCAGACTGCGCACCAGCTCCGGGCCGGCGTACAACAGGTGGCCGCGGTCCACCACCTGAGTGCGGACACAAGGACCGTGTCAGACACTATACTGAGCGGACACACGGACCGTGTCAGACACTACAGACACACGGACCGTGTCAGACACTACACAGCGGACACACGGACCGTGTCAGACAGTACACTGAGCGGACACACGGACCGTGTCAGACACTAGACAGCGGACACACGGACCGTGTCAGACACTACACAGCGGACACACGGACCGTGTCAGACACTACACAGCGGACACACGGACCGTGTCAGCCACTATACTGAGCGGACACAACACAGACTGTGTCAGACACTGAGCGGGCACACGGACCGTCCCAGACACTACGGAAACAAAGACCGCGTCAGACACTACACTGAGCGGACACACGGACCGTGTCAGACACTACACAGCGGACACACGGACCGTGTCAGACACTACACTGAGCGGACACACGGACCGTGTCAGACACTGAGCGGACACACGGACCGTGTCAGACACTACGGACACACGGACCGTGTCAGACACTACACTGAGCGGACACACGGACCGTGTCAGACACTACACTGAGCGGACACACGGACCGTGTCAGACACCACACAGCGGACACACGGACCGTGTCAGACACTACACAGAGCTGACATACGGACCGTGTCAGACACTATAGACACACGAACCGTGTCAGACACTACACTGAGCGGACACACAGACCGTGTCAGACACTACACTGAGCGGACACACGGACCGTGTCAGACACTACACTGAGCGGACACAGATACCGTGTCAGACACTACACAGCGGACACACGGACCGTGTCAGACACTACACAGCGGACACACGGACCGTGTCAGACACTACACAGCGGACAGACACTACACAGTGGACACACGGACCGTGTCAGACAGTACACACAGCGGACACACGGACCGTGTCAGACACTACACAGCGGACACACGGACCGTGTCAGACACTACACAACGGACACACGGAACGTGTCAGACGCCTCTGAATTCTGAGCACATCTGAATTCAAGCATGATCTTATCATTTTAAGTAAAACGCTTTTAAATTTGTCAGCGCGTGTGAACGACCCACCAGTGTACAGTGGAGGGCGCCCCTGTAACCCACCAGTTGCAGGGTTGCCCATCTAACCCACCAGTGTGCAGGGGAGGGCGCGCCATTCACCCACCAGTGTGCAGGGGAGGGCGCGCCATTCACCCACCCGTGTGCAGGGGAGGGCGCGCCATTGACCCACCAGTGTACAGGAGCAGGTGATGTCTCCGTGCTCGTTGGAGGCCACGGCCGAGTACGTTCCCAGCTCGTCGAACCGCGCAGCGGTGATCTCCAGCGTGTGGAAGTGGTGCGCCTCGTGCCACATGGCGAACCGCTCTGACGGGGACAGACAGTGAGCCACACAGTGACATCCCACAGAGTCCAGATGAATGAGTGGGCATTGTGCCCAACTAATGAACGGATCAACAAACAAACAAACAAATAATTATTCAGTAGCCAAATGAATGAAAGAATCAATACACAAAATGGAATTAATGATCAAATAAACCCCGCCCTCCCCTCACTGTGCGAGCTAGTCGTCTCACCGTTCTGCTGTAGCGGCACGCCGTCCTTGGCCCAGGTGACCTCTGGCAGCGGGTGACCTGTGACCTGACAGGTCAGCCGCACGGAGCTGCCCACGGCCACCCGGCGCTCGCGCGGCCGTACCAGGAAGTAGGGGGCCAGTGGCTCGCTCGGCGAGCGGTCGGCGGCCGACGCGGCAGACTCCAGGGCGCTGCGGACAGGGAGGGACGATCGAATACCGAGCGCTGCAGATCGAATACCGAGCGCTGCGGACACGGAGGGACGATCGAATACCGAGCGCTGAGGACACGGAGGGACGATCGAATACCGAGCGCTGCGGACAGGGAGGGACGATCGAATACCGAGCGCTGCGGACAGGGAGGGACGATCGAATACCGAGCGCTGCGGAAGGGGAGGACGATCGAATACCGAGCGCTGCGGACAGGGAGGGACGATCGAATACCGAGCGCTGCGGACAGGGAGGGACGATCGAATACCGAGCGCTGCGGACAGGGAGGGACGATCGAATACCGAGCGCTGCGGAAGGGGAGGACGATCGAATACCAGCAATATGGACAGGGAGGGACGATCGAATACCAGCAATATGGACAGGGAGGGACGATCGAATACCGAGCGCTGCGGAAGGGGAGGGACGATCGAATACCGAGCACTATGGAGAGGAAAGGGGAGGCTGCTGACCTTACACTGTTCTCGGCACCCAGCCTCTGCCTGACCTGATGACCTCTGAGATACCAAACCAAGCCAACCAGTTATTCATCCAACCAGTTATTCACCCCACATTAATAGGTCGGAAGGTGGGTGGGTGGGTGGGTGGGTGGGGGGTCTCCACTCAACAACTGATGGTCCTGTCAAGTGTCAGTAGGTGGGGGGGGGGGGGGGTCGCTCATCCGTTGATGGCCCGGTTAGTAAGGAGAGGGGTCGGTCGGTCAGTCAGTCGGTCGGTCGGGGGGTGGGGGAGGGGCGTCGGTCAGCGGTCTCCACAAATGGCTTGCGCGGTAGGGGAGGGGTCTCCTCACCCGCCGACGGGACCATCGGTCGGTCAGTCGGGGGAGGCGGTCGGTCGGTTGGTAGGGGGTGGGCAGGAGGTCCGCGGGGGTCGGTCGGGGCCAGGTTCTCACTCCCCGCTGATTGTCCGGTCAGTGGGTCGAGGTTGGGTCGGTGGGTCGGGGTCTCTATACTCACCTGTTGATGGCGCGGTCAGCGTGCAGCAGTAGCTCGCGCTCCACCACCGTCAGACGGGTGAAGGTGCTCGCCTGGCCGGCCGTGTTCACTGCCTGGCACGTGTAGGTGGCTTGGTCGGACGGTCGCACGGCGCTGACAGAGAGCCGGCACAGGTCGCCCTGGTGCGCCACGCGCAGTCGACAGAGGCCGGCCGGCAGCGGGATGCCGTCCCGCAGCCAGACCACCTCGGGAGCCGGCTCACCAGACACCTGAGACACGGACGGCGGGTTATACCACAGCGGGTCACAGAGGGTCACAGCGGGTCACAGCGGGTCACAGCGGGTCACAGCGGGTCACAGCGGGTCACAGCGGGTCACAGCGGATCAGACACAGTCACAGGTATCCTGTCCTGTCCACTCTTCCCTGCCCCTGTCCCACCCACCTGGCACTGGAGCTCCAGGCAGTCTCCGAGCAGACATTTGGTGGTGGCCGGCAGCAGGCGGCCGAACCGCGGCGCCACCCGCTCCCGACCGACCAGCACAGGCAGCGAGCAGCTGCCCTCGCCCCAGCCGTACCGGTTGCGCGGCGTCACGCGGAATATGTAGGTGCGGGCCGGCTTCAGATCGAATATGTCCATGCTGCAGATGACTGACATCCCCACCTGTGGGCAGCGGGGACCGCGGCGGTACGTGCTATCATTAAATGACATAGCCATTGTAGCAGTACCGTCATTTCGTACGTCCATACCCAAATCCCATCCGGCACATCATAGGCGTCGCCAGAGATTTTCGGTTGGGGGGGCAAAATCAACTTTTGTGTTAAATCTTCCCTTTCCCCAGTCGTTACTCACTCGTTTTACATATCATTCGACGCGCAATGGTGCCAGGAATCCGATGGTGACAAATTCTTCCTTCTAGCTATGATATATATTTTTTTTTACAGAAAAAAATCGAAATTTTGACATTTCTGGACAAAAACGACCGGTAGACTTAGAGTGGCTGCGATTGCCGGTGCCCTGCAGACGCTCGTCGCTCATGATCATCACCCAGTAAAAGGTGAAAAACGCTCCATTTAATCAGATCACCCTGCTAAAAACTTCATTCACGCATGCATGCAGAGGTTTTACATGCAATGCATAGGGCTTATCCCAGCCGCCGATAGTAGCTAAGTTGGGCATTCGGCGGAGAGTGAATATCGGAAGTGTGAATCGGAAGTAATTCATCTTTGCTCCAGTGAGAGGAAGTTTTTTGTTCACCCGAGTGTGAACGAAAAGTTCCTCGTTTTTCGTGTGAAGGGACGCGAACAGCAAATGTTAAACGGAACCAAAAGCTACGCACGGCATAGCGGCAAGCCTGCAAGGGATTCCTTAGAGATAGGTTTGGGACTTCCAGGCCATTTCAGGGCACTCAGGGTCAGTGTAGACTCTCAGAAGCCTGCATAGGATCCCAAAGATCGGGTGGTTCACCCCAAATATTTACGCATATTTGATGCTTTAGGGGTTTTCGAGCCCAAGGTGGGGTCCTCAGAACCAGTGTGGGCGGCGGGCGATAACAGACTAGGCCCAGGGGGCAGGGTGAGCCTGGAGCCCTCGGATAACAGTGTTAACCATCGGGGTCTGTGTCGAATCCTTAAGGACGCTACGTAGGGACATAATAAACATGTGTCGCGGCTCTCAAAGGGACACGCGAGTTACTCAGTTATGACCCCTCAGATGCCGGCTTGGGGTTAGCAAAGTCTGTCGCCTACGCTTGTACAGGGTCCTCAAAGATCCCTGTATGGGCCCTCAGAGAACATGGACACCAGTGGAACTCTCAGGCTGGTTTGGGCCCTCTGAAAGCTTCTTAGCGCTCGAAAGAGCTCCTTGGGAGCCTGTGTGAAAGGCGAGCTCATGAGCCCTGCGGCACTTGAAGGGTACTTGAGCCTGTCGCAGACATTTGACGAGAGTTGAGAAAGGCCCGACGATTTCGTGTCACGCTTTGAACGAAAATTACGTGTCAGCACTCCAAAACTTATGAAAATCAGCTATGAAATATAATAAAGAACCAACTAGGAACATGGAATGAATCACAGCATTGACATTTCCGGGTCTGAAGTCGGAGTCTTAAAGATTTTGGAGACTGCGACTCTGACTCTGGTTTGAACTGCATGTTCCAACCGAATTTGACCTCACAGGCATTCTCAGAAAGGTACCCCCATTTTTCCCGACTCCAAAATCTCATCGGATCTGTATCGATCTCAGGGGGTGCCCGGTCCGAGGTTGGGGGGGCAAGCTGCCCCGCTTGCCCCCCCGTGGCGACGCTAATGCGGCACATCTTATGTCTTTCCCGCCGGCGGCACGTGGCCGTGGCCGCCCCGGCAGCCCGCACTCACCATATCCCACATGGCGTCCTCGCACTTGAGCCACGCCTCCACCTTGTAGGAGAGGATGGGCGCGCCGCCGTTATAGAGCGGCCGCGGCCAGGCCAGTGACACCCAGTTCTGGCCCACGTCCCTGGTGTACGGCCGGCCCGGCAGTGGACCCGGAACGTCTGCGTGTGCACAGGACGGTTAGAGCGGTCAGATCGGGGCAGCGCACCTCTGGCTACAGGTCACAGCTAGCTTAAACATTCCACCAATAAAGTGCGAGTCGCTTAGCGAGCGTCACTGATCTAAATAATGACTGAGCTTTTACTATACCAGCCTGTGTGCACACTGCACAGGATTAATAACAGCTGACCCTGCGTGAAGCGCTCACAGCGTTACCAACGGCTCACCCTGTGTGAAGCGTTGTGTCCTGCGCAGGTCGGCGCTGGCCATGAGCCGGGAGGAGGTGCGGCTGTCCCAGTCGGGCGTCTGAGCCCGATTCGGCTCCTTCACCTGCGACAAAACAGGTCAAAGGTCGATCACCGCTCAGCCAGCACAGGCCAAAGATCAGGTCAACCCCAGCCAGCACAGGTCAAAGATCAGGTCAACCCCAGCCAGCACAGGTCAAAGATCAGGTCAATCCTAGCCGGCATTGGTCAGAGGTCAGGTCACTCCTCAGTCGTCCCAGGTTAACCCGTAGTGGTCCTTGGAGGATCAGAGCCTCGGTTTGAGACACACTATTGTTTAAGTTGCACGAACACCATCAAAACTGCAAAAACAACGTTGATTTACTTCTTTCCAATGAAAAGCTGGACTAACGGAAAAGGGTAATAGGCACGCGTAATGCCCTCAGCTCTGAAATGTCTTCCTCCGCTGCGCCCATCACTGTTCAGTATTGGCTCCGAAAGCACCCGCCTCGCACACCGCTCCGGCAGCGCGGCGCGGCGCGGTGCACTTACCCGGACGAGGACGTAGCAGCGGTCGGCGCCGTCGGCGTTCTGCGCCTCCACACAGTAGGTGCCCGAGTCGGAGAAGTGCAGCCGCTCCATGCGCAGGTGACACAGCTCGCCGGACACCTCCAGAGTGGCGCGCCGAGAGGCCAGCAGGTTCTGGCGGCCCTTGTGGAAGGCCACTGCAGCGACAGCACAGGGGCGGCGCGTCAGGGCGGGCCGATACACACCGCAATTACAGAACGGCTTGTTCGTGTTCGTAAATACTATGAAAATTAAAAGGCCGCAAGCAAAGCTACTATCAGGCCATTATCAGGTGGCAGTCACGCTTGACTGAGGCGCAGTTTAGGCAAACACCGTGAGATGATTGTGCCGTAGTATAGCTAAACGCTGTGAGATACACTGTGCCGCACTACAGCTAAACGCCGTGAGATAGACTGTACCGCAGTACACCTAAACGCCGTGAGATAGACTGTGCCGCAATTCAATACAGCTAAACGCCGTGAGATAGACTGTGCCGCAGTACAGCTAAACGCCGAGGGTTAGAATGTGCCACAGTGCAGCTAAACGCCGTGAGATAGACTGTGCCGCAGTACAAATCAACGCCGTGAAATAGCCTGTGCTGCAGTACAGCTTAACGCCGTAAGATAGACTGTGGCGCAGTACAGCCAAACGACGTGAGATGTGTAGGATGCTTCGGAAGATCAGAATAGCTTCTGCAAGTGGTTTAATATAGAACCGAACAACGAAAGATATATTTTTTCTGGAATATGCGTGAAAGAGCTACCCAGTCTCCCGCAAATGAGCCACGAATAATCTTATATCTTTCTTCGTAGAGGTTTACGCAAATCAAAAATAAAATATTTTATTCAAACTTATTGTTTATCCGAAGAAACAGATTTATAGGTAGTTTCTTTGCAGTTCATAAGCTAATTTCAAACATATAACACAGAAAACGGAACGGCTTTTCTCGCTTATCACTTAAACCCTTCATATTTGGTTATGAAACCTGTGCCGCAGTACAGCTCAACGCCGTGAGATAGACTAAACCGCAGTACAGCTCAACGCCGAGGGTTAGACTGCTGCAGTACAGCTAAACGCCGATGGTTATACTATGCCGCAGTACAGCTAAACGCCGAGGGTTAGACTGTGCTGCAGTACAGCTAAACGCCGAGGGTTATACTATGCCGCAGTACAGCTAAACGCCGAGAGTTAGACTATGCCGCAGTACAGCTAAACGCCGTGAGATAGACTGTACCGCAGTACAGCCGAGAGCCGTCGTAATCTCCAGTGCGACACAAACACTCGTCCTACAACTTTCAAATTCTACATTATGGGGTGAAATTCGAAAACTGACGAAATTTTGATATGTTTTGTTCACTCACGGCACAGTGCATTTGACACCGGGTGAAGCTTGCTTGCATTAAACGAGATTAATTTTCATCTAGCGTTTGCTGGTTGACAACGATATTCTATCTTTCTTTCGTCTTGTCCGCGACTGCCGGCCCACCTTCCGGCCGGGGCTCGTCTTACCTTTTGGCCGCGGCTCTCCGGCGATGCGACAGGTGAGCAGCAGGTCTCCCCCGTTGGCGACTCGGATGAGGTCGTCGGGCTTCTCGACAATCCTGGCCGGCTGGCCGGCGCCAGCGGCTCCCAGACTGAAGGCGAGGGGAGAGTTACTGGACATTGCAGAAACTCTACGCACCGCGGCAACGACATCATCGTAAGTCATCAACACGTCTGCAATACCTCTAGCAGCAATGCCCGGTAAAGAAACGATAGTAAAATTCGAAAACTATAGCCAGGAAAATTTTGACACATGTTAAACGGCATGTATGTAAGTACTTATTTGGTTAGCATCAAATCTGATCTTTCCCTAAAAGCTTGCCTTGCTGTGAGAAGATAGCCCTTTTAGTGACGATCAGACACCTGTACCTGTCATAATCCGGAAGGCTTGCCTCTTACCTAGCGACTGGACAGGTGTCCTTCCACTCTCTAAGGTACCCGACAGGTGGTATACCCTCACTCTCTCGGATACCGGACGGGTGTGGTGTACTTCCACTCTCTCAGGTACCGGACAGGTGTGGTGTACCTCCACTCCCTCAGGTACCGGACAGGTGTGGTGTACTTCCACTCTCTCAGGTACCGGACAGGTGTGGTGTACTTCCACTCTCTCAGGTACCGGACAGGTGTGGTGTACCTCCACTCCATCAGGTACCGGACAGGTGTGGTGTACTTCCACTCTCTCAGGTACCGGACAGGTGTGGTGTACTTCCACTCTCTCAGGTACCGGACAGGTGTGGTGTACCTCCACTCCATCAGGTACCGGACAGGTGTGGTGTACTTCCACTCCCTCAGGTACCGGACAGGTGTGGTGTACCTCCACTCCATCAGGTACCGGACATGTGTGGTGTACCTCCACTCCATCAGGTACCGGACATGTGTGGTGTACCTTCACTCCCTCAGGTACCGGACAGGTGTGGTGTACCTTCACTCCCTCAGGTACCGGACAGGTGGCATACCCTCACTCTCTCCGGTACCGCACCCAGGTTTCCCTCCACTGTCATGTATTCAGACGGACCGGTCCCCGCCCGCTCACCTGGTGCCGGACCGGTCCCCGCCCGCTACACTCTCTCGGTTGCGTTCCCCGCCCACTCACCTGACGCTGGCCGAGCAGGTGGCCGCGCCGTGCACGTTGGCTGCCCGGCAGGTGTAGGTGCCGGCGTCCCCGGCTGTCAGGCTGTGCAGTGAGAGCGCGTAGTCGGGGAAGCGGCCCCAGGCGCGCAGTCGGGCAGACGGCCGCACCGGCTGGCCGTTGTGGAGCCAGCTGATGTCCGGTGACGGTGAGCCTGAGCCGGGGACGAGGGGCAGATCAGCGGGGAGGCAGGCGACGGCTGGGGAGACCGCACCCGGGGGAGATGAGGAAAACCGGGGGAATTTACGGGAGGGTCAGACACAGAGAGTCCGGCCGGCACGGCAGACTTTGGACATATATTTGGGCGGCTTTTTGATGTGAATAAGTTTCTGTTCCATTTGATGATAATAAGGTCCTCCGATCTTCTAAATACTTCTTGTTAGAAACATAGAAGTGCCTGAGCAGAAGAAGAGCCTATAAGCTGTGTGTGAGCACGCCTGTTCAAGGTTGATTTATCAGTCCGAAAATAAGCAAAATACAAGCAAGGTAAAAATGGATAACCGCTATCTTTAAAATCACTTCTTAGATTTCTTAGCGTTTGAGCAATGCATAGCAACGATGGACATGCACTATCAAAGCACAGCACTACAGTCATGTAAACTTGTGAAATGCGCTTGTAACAATATCCACTACTATTTCCAATAAAAGAGGCATGCCATGCAGACCGATGTCTGATGTTCGACATTCATGCATACAACATGCACGAGAAGTCTGGCAAACAAGCGTATGTGAGCCTTGTAACGATCATCATTAGCATTGTATTTAGTTTGATTATGCAATAAATAATAATAAGATATTGAAATTACAAGCAGCGCAAGGCAGCTTTCAGAGCGGTATTTTTTGGCGATGCGCAATGCGCAAGAATCCCGCGTGTCCGGTGTTTCTCCCCCCAACACTCTGTCCAGTGTTTTGTCCCGTCCCTCTGTCCGGTGTTTTGTCCCGCCCCTGTGTCCGGTGTACCATCCCACCCATGGGTCCTGACTCCTGTGTCTGTCCGGTGTATCACCCTCCCCCTTTTACCCGCCGTGTCGCGCGCGGCGGCTCACCGAGCTCGCGGAGGCGCGCGCGCAGGTGCCGGTTGGGATAGTACTCGGCTATGCTGAAGGCCAGGCCGGGCCAGGTGCCGGTCCGGTAGTGGCGGCGGCTCAGGTAGACGACACGCGGCCGCAGCATGCCCAGCCGCCGCCAGGCCGGCGGGCAGTGGTAGTGGGCCGGCGCCGCGCACCGCGCCAGACGCTCCAGCGCCGCCGACGCCACGGCCGGCCGCTCGGACGTCACGGCCGGCCGCTCCGGGTACGTGGGTGACGTCACGCGGCGGTAGCCCGCTGCCGCTGTCCAGTGACCAGGTCAGGGCGGGGTCAGTACGGGGTGCGTGCAAATGACGATCCGTCAAACCATTCTACCTACGCACCCGACAGCGCACTACAGAACGCACTACGACACTATGACTAAGCGCTACGTCACAACTGGAGTAAGATCACAGTGACTGTCACAAACCAAACACCACCATACGCACCCATCGTACATTGGGACACTAGTGCTGGGTCCCTAACCTCGACTCCACCGCGCTCGTCACTACTGACACTATCCTCCAAACACTACCCAACAACCATGCACCAGCGGCGCGATACGCGGCGTCAGTTCACATCACATACGTCAGTCGCACGCTGCACTGTCACGTCAGTTCCTCTGACGGCAGCCGCTGCCGCCGCGGGGGCACACGCACACCTACCGGCCACCTTGACCTTGAGGTCCAGGTCGCGGCCCTGGCTGGCTTCCACGTCTCGCAGGGCGTCCAGGAAGACGGGCCGGCTGGCCGTGTGTGCGGAGCGCGCGGGTCGCTCCGGCGAGCCGGCCGGCCGCGGCTGCGCACCGCCTGGGGGCACAGCTGGGAGTCAGAGACGGCAGAGACCAGACACAGCAGTGCATCCAGACGAGACCCAACACAGCAGGGTATGTAGAACAGTAAACAACCAGACTCAACACAGCACGACATTCAGACAACCAGACTCAGTCACTCAACACAGCAGGGCATTGAGACAACGACAACGAGAACGGTGTTGTTCAAACAGAGCATTGAATAACACAGCAGGACATCGAGACAACGTGACCCAACACAGCAGGGCATTGGAATCCAGCGCAACAGGGCGTCGAGACAACAAGAGCCAACGCAACATCGAAACACCGAGACAGAGGCCAAACAGCATCCAGACACTGAGACAGAGACCCAACACAGCATCCAGATGCCGAGACAGAAGGCCAATACAACGCAACATCCATTCATACACCAAGACAGCGACCAAACGCAGCATACAGGTACTGAAGACAGGGACCCGACACAGCATCTATGTAGATACCGAGACAGAAGCCCGGCACAACACAGCACCCAGACACTGAGACCAGTCAGAGAGCAGCACGGGTTCAGTAACCTCCAGTGCACGGTGATGTCAATGCTGACAGTCGTAGGCATCATCAGCAACATGACGCTGACTGACAAAGCCGGCCGGTGCGGCCCGGCAGATACATTCCCGAAACACTGGCCACTCCAACGGCTTCTGCAGTTGACTCACGTGATTAACTAATAAATAAACACACGATCAGAATGGCCCGGATAAAGCGGCCCGTCGTTGCCGAACTACTGACGGTTGCCACCAGGGCCCTACCTGGCACGGTGATGTGTTCCGATATCTCCGCAGAGCCGACTCGGTTCTCGGCCAGACACGTGTACTTGCCGTCGTCGCCGCCCTGGGGCGACTGCACCAGCAGCTTACCTGCGGCAACCGCAAACCATCAACAGCTGCTCACAGCTCCCACCTACACAGGCGGTATCTATACCGAGGACTGACTGCCTTTCGTTAGCAAGATCGGGCGGATGGAACAGGATTTTCCCATACCTGCTACATTGCATGATTAAATCGAGACATCCAGGCATTTTAATGGCACGTGCACTGTACCACACTTTTCAAAGTTTAATGCAGTGCTTTAATATTGCCAGCCGTGTGGTTCAAGGGGTGTGGTTAAACGCGTTGAACCACACGGCTGCTGACGTCACTATCAATTATAGTTGTGAGCTTTTTGGCAGGTATGGGAAACACCTTCCAGCCCTAAGGCCGAGAATTCAATAAATGTCACCTCGCTTTTTTAGTGAAAAGCACCTCGGGCCTAACGGCCCTCGGAGTTTTCGCTAAAAAACCTCGGTGACATTTATTGAATCATCCCGGCCCCGGGCAGGAATATATTGAAGGATATCATAACAAATCTCCAAATTAGACTGCATCACCTCCCTTACGAATGTTCGTGAGGGAGGATTGTATTTATGGCTGTCAACTGTACAGAGAAACGATTCCTATTAGAGTTGTTCAGTCATCGATGAAATGGCAACGGATGACTTTGAACTGACTCTGAAACGGACATTGCAGTGTCGTTTAACACGTCACAAATAAAACAATAGGTGACAGGTACAGGTGGGTACACATTGGAGACCAAGGACGTTTACCTAGTCCTAACTAAACGTCGACGGCGTATAATTAAACGTTTAATTATATGTTTAATTTAATTAAAGGTTTAATTATACCTCCCTGTCGGAGACCCATATATGACATAATAACGGCATTACCTAAGAACGTTATAAATACTGATAATGTAACGTAGATACAACGTGAAAACCCTTGTCACTTGTAGAACCTGGGCCCTGTTCATTAACCCCGGCGGTCGCTGCGGCCGCTGCGGTCGCTGCGGCCAGCCGGGTTGTTACGTCACAAAAAGGGGCGGGGCTCATGTAGTGTGACGAATGTATGACGTCACCTTGCTGCGGCCGCTGCGATCTCTGCGGCCGCAATCCAGCGACCGCCGAGCCGCAAGAAAGTAATTGCACTGAACTTGGCGCACTGAAGTCAAAGTGTAGGCTGTGTTGCCATGGAGACGATGTTGTAAACAAATTCATTCCGTCCAGTGTTACATGCCATGATACCTAAAAATTATATTAATACTTTAATATGAGATTTAATTTTAGACTTAAGTTATTTGTGCTACGATTTAATGAAAAGAATACCAAATCATTTATGTGACCCACTTACAAAAATACAGAAACACCAGACGGCCTTGAGAAACGCCCTTTTCATCACAGGAATGGAATACACATATAAAAGAAGCGCGTGGAAACTATTGATTATTAATCGTCTCAAGCGCGCAATTATCGGAAACTATTTCGGCAGCAGACGCACTGGCGGATCCAGGCTTGCGTTTTGGAGGGGGCCAACTCATGCAGGAGCCAAACCTAGGGTACCCCCAAATCATGTTTTCTCATCGGATTTAGGCCACTTATTTTTCGTCACAGCCCTGACACTATGAATTTTTTTTTTAAACTAAAAAGAAAAATATATAAATGGTAGCCCACCCGACCCATGCCTTTATATTACTTTGTAAACACTTACCATTGTTTTTATCGACCAGTTAAAGGGACCCTCCCACCGTAACATTAGATTTGAGCTGAGATAGCCAAAATGGGGTCCCTGGCTCACAATTACCGGTTTCGGCACGCACTCACAACATCGAGAAATGCCTTAAATCGGAAATATTGAACTTCAAAATTGCAGCATTTTGATTCAGAGGGGCTAATGCTTTTGGATACCCCTCTGAATGTGTGACGTCAGCGGAGATCTAATGATTTTTTAATATTTTACTAAAACGTTTGGTAGCATGCGGTGGTATAGGCTGCTTTGCGCGCAACAAATGCCGCACTTTCAAATAAAGTCGCTAGGAACAGCAGCGGATATCCCAAAAAGTAAACAAAAATAAAAGTCTAATCTCTTGAAAACCGGTGAATATTTTTCGATAAAATTTGGTAGATATTCGTTTTCGCCCTTTCTGAACCTAGCGACATCACTTTCATGCCAACTCATTAACTTTTTTGAAGGTGGGAGGGTCTCTTTAACCCGCTTCGAGTCAGTGCTTGGGTCCCTTTGCGGGCCGGAGGTGGTAAAACAGCCCTGTCTAACTCGGCTCCTGGGCCACGCACTGATTGAGCTATGTTTCATCATCGTTTGGGGAGGGGGAAAACGGGCCACTTTAGGCCTCTGGGAAGGGGGCATGGCCCTAAATGCCCCCTCCCTGGATCCGCCAGTGTAAGAAGAGACCATTGGAGCTGCAGTTGGGTACCTCAGACATCAGGGTACGCCCTCAGATGTATGTATAGGACTTGCATGGAGACCTCTTATGCTATAGTGTACTGAAAGGACCCAAAGGAGCCTGTCTATATGGGCTCCCGGAGATAGACGTGGGCCCTCAGGAGCCCGCCAGAGCCCCAATGAGGGATAAGTGAGGGATACCAAGTGCCTGCAATTGCATATTGCATAAGCCATAACGCCTTTACAAATCAATATATTATGCATCAGTGGCAGATCCAAGGGGGACCACATGGGTCATGACCCCCTTGGTGCCCGGGGGCACCACAGGCCTGTCAGGGGCATCACCGGCCTAGTAGGGGCACCACCAGCCCGCCAGGGGCACCACAGGCCTAGCAAGGGCACCACGGGCCTGTGAGGGGCCCCACAGGCTTGTCAGGGGCACCCCAGGTCTGTCAGGGACACCAGAGACCTGCCAGGGGCGCCGCCGGCCTCGCAGGGGCACCATGGGCCTGTCAGGGACACCAGAGGCCTAGCAGGGGTACCACAGACCTTACAGGGGCACCACCGGCCTTGCAGGGGCACCTTGGGTCTGTCACGGGCACCACAGTCCTGTCAGGGCCCAGGGGCACCAGCGGCCTAGCAGGGGCACCACAGGCCTGCCAGGGGCACCACCGGTCTAGCAGGGGCACCATGGGCCTGTCAGGGGCCCCACCGGCCTCGCAGGGGGCACCACCGGCCTCGCAGGCATCACGGCATCACGCAGGGGCACCTTGGGCCTGTCGGGGGCATCACGGGCCTGTTGGGGGCACTTTAGGCTTATCAGGGGCACCACAGTCCTGTCAGGTCCCAGGGGCATCAGCAGCCTAGCAGGGGCACCCTAGGCCCGCCAGAGGTACAGCCCACCGCTAAAGTAATGTAGGGTTTTACCAAACTCAACGGTTGGCTTTGACTGGCGATTGTTTAATGCGAAGTGATTGAAAAGAAGATGTCAATAGCTAAAGTTGCAGCTGCAAGGGTGACGATACATATAAGCTACATTCAAAGTTTCATTGTAGTCTGGCTAATCGTTCCTAAGCTTCAGAAGCAGAACATACCCATGACTGAAACCCCACATTACTTCTGCTGTGGACTGTACCACAGGCCTGCCAGCGTCCAGGGGCACCACAGGCCTAGCAAGGGCACCACGGGCCTGTCAGGGGCACCTCAGGCTCCCGTGCCCCCCCCCCCCCTCCCCCCCAGATCCGCCAGTGATGCCACACCACGCGAAACACCGCCAACTACCAGCTGCCGCGCCATAAACACGTGCCAACAACAGTCTTTTTTTTAAGGTCGACTCCGCTCGCGCAACTTTTGACTGACCCTCACTGCTACTATATTGCTTCCATATTATGCTGTGGAAAGCTTTACTTCACCAAGTGGCTAAAAACCTCCATCAAGGTATATTTTCTTAGCAATTTTTCTGGCGTTTTGGGGGGGGCCAAACAGGCCACTTTAGGCCTTTGGGGGGGGCCATGGCCCCCGTGGCCCCCCCCCCCCTGGATCCGCCAGTGAGCAGACGTGTTCATGGAACGCTGATTGCGGTCGAGTGGGAAATGACGTTTCAAAAATGGGCGGAGCTTAGACCCTGCGGCCGGCTGCAGCGGCCGCAGGGTTCATGAACAGGGCCCTGTATCCCAGTAGGTAAATCGGCGGTGGTCCAACTCACAGACGCCGTCGTCGGCCTGGGTCTGGTGAACTCGGTCCGAGCTGGCCACGGCCGCGCCGTCCCTGAGCCAGGTGACCCGCGGCGCCGGGTGGCCCGCCAGCTGACACTCGATGATCAGCACGTCATCCTCCAGGATATACGACACTGCAGAGCACGCGCGCCGGTCAGAAAACACTGCAGAGCACGCGCGCTGCGCTGGTCAGAAAACATTGCAGAGCACGCGCGCTGATCAGAAAATAATGCAACGGACACGGGACTGGTTAGAGAATAATGCAGCGGACACACAGTGGTTAAAACATAATGCAGCGGACACACACTGGTCAGAGAACCGATAGCACTATCATCAGTACAGCAATGGCGCTAGAAGAACCCTGGTTCCCCAACTGAGGGTGGCTGCTCGGCCGAAGCGTCCCGTCCCCTGTTGCGCGCTAACCTCGCAGTCCAGTGAGGAAGGTCGGCGGGCCGGGCCGCGGCTCGATGGCTCCGGCGCGCACGTGCAGGTCGGCCGTGCAGCTGGCGCGGCCGTGCATGTTGCGCGCCGTGCACGTGTACTCGCCGCCGTCCTGGAGGCCCACGTCCGATATCTCCAGCGAGGCGGCGCCGTCGGCGGCCAGCCAGGCGCGCAGCCTCTGGTCCAACTCGGGCCGGAGCAGCGCGCCATTCAGGTACCTGCCGCGGCCGGTCACCGGGGCGGGGCGGGGGGACAGGTCATTGGCGGGACCGCAGTCATTTCTGGAGGGAACTTACTTATGATTATTCCGTCATTTCCTATTGAACCGAGTAGGTACCTATTGACATTCTAAAACGGCTGTGTCTTCATAACAAAATGAATCACAAGCAGCAGCACTCACAATTTTTACCTGCGGTGTTTTACCCCTTTCAACAAAGTGGCCGCAAGAAGCCAGCTTATATTGAAACGATATGGAAGCCGCTGAAATTAATTCAGTACCTAAATCACCGATGCTCAGGCTCACTATGCTAGTATGTCAAATTTCATTTCTGACGAATGCAGATTTTTTAACCTGCGCCCCGCTGGGGGGGGGGGGGGCAGAATTTGCTCCCCTCCCGTTTTTCGCCAATAACTTCTAAACGCGTTACGCCAGCGACGTCAAACTTTCCGTACCTTATCATACATCAATTTGACACGGTAACCGGACAAAAAGTCAAAAGGAATAAAGTCAAAAGACAAATAGTCAAAAGACAAAAAGTCAAATGCAAAAAGTCAAACGGGATAAAAGTCAAAAAGATAAAAGTCAAAACGGATAAAAGTCAAAAGACAAAAAGTCAAAAGCAAAAAGTCAAAATGTGCAAAAGTCAAAAACGCAAAAAGTCAAATGACAAAAAGTCAAAAATGCAAAAAGTCAAAAGCAAAAAGTCAAAACGTGTAAAAGTCAAAAGACAAAAAGTCAAAAATGCAAAAAGTCAAAAGGATAAAAGTCAAAACGGAAAAAAGTCAAAAGACAAAAAGTCAAAAATGCAAAAAGTCAAAAGAATAAAAGTCAAAACGGAAAAAAGTCAAAAGACAAAAAGTCAAAACGTGTAAAAGTCAAAAGACAAAAAAGTCAAATGGAAAAAAGTCAAAAGACAAAAAGTCAAAAGCAAAAAGTCAAAACGGGTAAAAGTCAAAAGACAAAAAGTCAAAAACTGAAAAAAGTATAAAATAGAAAAGTCGAAGTCAAATTCTGAAATAAAAAGTCAAAAGGATAAAAGTCGAAGCATCGATCTTTTCATCTTTTGAAAAATATTATACAGCGCAACGTACCCTACCCACTGAAGTTGTAAGGAACATGTGAGTACGCGAGGGATTCTGACAGGTACCGGGGTCCGCAGCAGCGGGGCAGGGACGCTGGCTGCGGTGGTGGGGCCCACGCTCACATAATACGCGTTGAGCGCTTCCGGCGTGCACGCTGGCGCAGCAGCAGTGGCACTCTTCCCCGCCCCGATCACCGGCCGCAGCACTGTCCACACTCCACATCCTCGCCGGTCCTGCCTCACGCAGCTGGTCAGCATAGTATGCCGCGTGGTCACGTTTGATGGCCGCTCGACACTGCCGGTTCACCACCGTATACTCGGCGCGCGGGCCGAGCAGTGCGCGCCGCCGCGCCAGCAGCGTTCGCGTGGCGTCCGTGGTGCGCGGAGCACCGGGCGGCGGCAGCCCCTCCCCCATGGGAGCGAGTGAAAAGCAGTGCCTCCTCTAAGCAGTTTTGACTGGGGGCCCGATCACGGGCAATGACTAAGGTAACCCCTACCAAAAACGTCTAAGACTAAAAAATGACTAAGGTACCCCTCAGTGACCAGTTTGGAGGATGACTGCGGGGGCTGCAGCTCCCGCAGTTAACATGTTAGAGGAGCCAGGAGGCCCTGGTGAAAAGCCAAAACCTCAAAATAAAAAATACCATGTGATTAACGCTTAAATGACGTCAATGGACTTAAAGTAAAAAATACAAAAGACGAGATAATTTCAAAATTTTGAGTTGCAATTTTTGTCCCCTCAACTTTCAACCTACCCCATCAACTTTTCAAACGTTCCCGGGTCACCACTGCCCCATCGTGCAATTCCAGTGCTATGGCAAAGTTTTATCTGAAAGTTTAAACGTGCCCGATAGACTGGAAGCCGTCCCCTCCGTCCACTCACGCTCTCTGGTCTCTGTACGGTCATCGCTGACTGGTCCAGCATCCAACGCGCTGGGTTTATAGAAATTTGGTTAAAAGAAATGAACATATTTTAATGAACGAATCCATTAAGTAATAAAATGAAAATGATTCACAGGTTATTATTACATGGGGGAGCACTGGCGCTGGAACTTTCTCAATGTTGGAGCCGGGCTCAAGGCAGTTTGAACTCATTTCTTACCATGCAACGCCATAGGGTTAATTACGAGCGAGCGGTGTCTTATGGTTTTTTAGATACCTATATGACTTTTTACTTTTGACTTTTTCTTATTTGACTTTTTCCATTTGATTTTTATCATTTTGACTTTTTTGCCGTTTTTACACTTTTTGTCTTTTGACTTTTCGCGTTTTTTGACTTTTTGCCATTTGACTTTTTGCTTTTGACTTTTTGCGTTTTTGACTTTTCGCCATTTTGACTTTTTGCCATTTGACTTTTTTGCTTTTGACTTTTTTCGTTTTTGACTTTTCGCCATTTTGACTTTTTGCCATTTGACTTTTTGCTTTTGACTTTTTGCGTTTTTGACTTTTTGCCATTTTGACTTTTCGCCATTTGACTTTTTGCTTTTGACTTTTTGCGTTTTTGACTTTTGGCAATTTTGACTTTTTGCCATTTGACTTTTTGCGTTTTTGACTTTTGGACGTTTTGACTTTTTGCCATTTGACTTTTTGTCTTTTGACTTTTATCCGTTTTGACTTTTATCCATTTGACTTTTTTCCATTTGACTTTTATCCATTTTGACTTTTTGCATTTGACTTTTTGTCTTTTGACATTTTGTCTTTTGACTTTTTGTCCTGGAATCATTTGACACGTTCCTTGAAAATTTGAGCGAAATCTGTCGGAAAATATTTGAGAAATTGACGTTTTAGTGACGTCATGTTCGCCATTTTCGCCTCAAAAACGGCAAAATTTCAAACGCCGCTAACATCTTCATTTTTAAAAGAATCAAGACGTATCAAAAAAAGGTTATACGTGATTCTACTTCGTCTATCAAATGGCTATCTCGGTTTTTTGAAAATTTTGGATTTTGGTCCAATTTTTTTCAAAAAACTGACTTTTTTTGAAAATATTTATAAAATCCAAAATTTTGAGTGTATAAAAAACCGGGATAAATGTCAAAGAAGTGGTCTATGTGCACCTACATACCAATTTTTAGAAGAATCGGTTCAAAAATGTGGGAGTTATTCAAAATTTTATGACGTCACGACACACACAAATTTTGAAAAATGATTTTTTTGGAAGTTCCAGACCTCGTACGGAAACAAAAATAGCACTATTCGATTCGCCGTGAAAAACTGCATCAGATAGACACCTTTTCAGGCCTAAACAACCAACTTCAAAATTTGACCTCACTTGACCTGACCTTGACCTGACCTCGACCTGAAATTCATCCAGAGGTGGTCCATATCACTTATTGAGTGTGCCTATTGAATTCCATGAGCAAAATGACCCATAAAACATGTGTCGCACATGCCCTTTTCTATATTTTGTTTTTGGTGACCTGACCTGACCTGATCTGACCTTGACCTTGACCTTTGAATGACATTGTATGCAACGAATATTGTCTTGGTAGTCTAAGAACACGTTTTGGGCAATCAGTCTCAGTCCATTCTTCGGCAACTACGGTGCAAGGCCGATACTGTAGAAACTTGCATTTTGTACCCTTGACCTGACCTTGACCTGACCTCTGACCTACTTAAGCAAAAAAAAATGAGCTCTTAAGATTTGCCTTGTTGAGAGCTTTCGATTGCCGTTTTCCCCGTCTTTCTACGACCATCGGTTCGGAAGTTAGACAGGGGGGGCAGAATCTGCGGTAAAAGTATACATTAAGTCCGAGTGTCTGTTATAAGATAAAGTTTTCATATTCTGACATAATTTGACATCCTGAATCCAAAAATGATACTTATATGTCCTGGAAATAAAAGAAAAACATAATCAAACCTGACCTAACCTTACCTATTTACATAGGTGGAGAATTGTGACCAGCTGGGGGTGCTCGGGCGCAGCAAATCCGCCGCCGCCTAGCGGTGACCTTGACCCGCGCCGCCCGGCCGCGGCTCCAAAGCCAAGCCGGCGTGGTGGCCGGCGTGGAATTGGGAGAGCTCGAGCACCCCCAGTCCAGCACAATTCTCCACCCGTGCCTATTTACCTACAACCTACCAACCTACAACCTACAAACCTACAACCTAACCTAACCTAACCTACAAACCTACCAACCTAAAACCTAAAACCTACAAACCTACAACCTAACCTAACCTAAAACCTAATTTTTTGCTGTTACATATTTGTATCAACAGCGTCACAATTGTCCACTCGGACCTAATATATACTAATACCGAATCTGCCCCCCCCCCCCCCCAGCAGGGCGCGTATGGCTGAATAGCCCAGCGGGGCGCGGGTTAAAGAATAAAAAATGCATCATATCGCGCACCCTCCAAGAAAATGCGGGCAATTATACAGCCCTCATAATACGACGTGAAGGCACCTTTACCTAACATCTACCTGGCCCGCCCACTAAAGCCAAATTCCCTGGAAATGTCGACACTAGTGAAGTAAGGGCTCAATCAAAGGGCTATTTTACTGACTCAGCGCCCTTTTAAATTTGAGCACTGTCTGCCACCTACAGACCTCGCAATATGTAAAAACCTTCAACCAGCGTATTTACAATCACCCACGAGCTTTAGGGATACTGCAAATGCACATGATGAAATGAGGGCCTCGTTTCATATAGCTCTACCGTAACTCACACCTTTCCGTAATTCACACCAAGGCTATAGAACCCAATTCACACCCTTTCAAACTACGAAGCGCAAATGAAGCCGTTTCATAAAGCCACAAGTTGTTTACACCTCCGTAAATTGGCACATTTGCGTAGTTACCGTGATTTATCAAGCGTCCTACAAATTACAATTTAATGTCAACACTTATTTTTAACCAGAAATTATTACATAATCATTTTGATTTAAAATCTTAGAAAATATTTATGAAAAAACAAAAATCGTCCTTTATCAAATCAATTTATTAAAAACAGCAGAAAGCCAGCTAAGCAGAAGTACCTAGCTACGAAAGTGGCGCGGCGCGGAGAATAAACAAATTTCCGATAGTGGCCACAAAAAGCGAATGGTACAGAAGATTTCCAGCAAGATTTCCAGTTTCCTTTTTATCTTTCGGCTGCTCTTTCGTAGGTAATCGTCACCGGGCTCAATATTGTAATTTGTAACATAGGCGTAGGATAAGGGGGACGGGGGGCCATGCCCCCCCCCCACTTTCGGAGGTGGGCCGTGGGGCATGACTTAGAGTATACCAGTCCATAGATATCATGAATAGTATAGCTATGATTGATGCCAAGTACCTATCAGCAAGATATTTTGTAAATGTAGGTACTTTGGTGACTGATCTAAGTAGCAGTATAACAGTATTCTTTGAAAGAAATGAGCTCCAGTTCTCAGTAAATCAGAGAGTAACTACCACATATCGAACAGGTAGGTACCACACGCAACATCATGGCTAATCGAGAACATCACTATCCTCCGTGAATAATTTTTACGTTTATCAATAAATTTAGTAATTGTGGTTGCATTGATTTAATATGTTATGTGAAAAAAAATGAACATCTTACTTAAAGGGACCCTCCCACCTTAACATTAGATTTGAGTTGAGATAGCCAAAATGGGGTCCCTGGCTCACAATTACCGGTTTCGGCACTTACAACATCGAGAAATGCCTTAAATCGGAAATATGGAATTTCAAAATTGCAGCATTTTGATTCAGAGGGGCTAATGCATAGGAATACCCCTCTGAATGTGTGACGTCAGCGCAGATATCTAACGATTTTTAAATGTTTGACTAAAACGTTTTGTAGCACGCGGTGGTATATGCTGCTTAGCGCGCAACAAATGCCGCACTTTCAAATAAAGTCGCTAGGAACAGCGGAGATCCCAAAAAGTAAATAAAAGTAAAAGTCTAATATCTTGAAAACCGGTGAATATTTTTCGATGAAATTTGGTAGATATTCGTTTTTGCTCTTTCTGAACCGAGCAACATCACTTTCATGCCAATTCATTAACTTTTTTGAAGGTGGGAGGGTCCCTTTAATATTGCACTGGTTCACCACACACATCTATGTTACTACATGTTCATTCAAATGATTATTTGATTGGCCATGTATCATTTGGCAGCCCCTCGCTCCCCTCCCCCCTCCCCCCCCCCCCCGTGTGCGTGGCTCGCTCACCAGTCGACCTCCACGGGCACGTCGTCGTCCGTGGCGCACGTGCAGCTCAGTCGGACGCGCGTGCCCGCCATGGTGGTCTTGTCCTGCAGCCGGCTGCTCCAGCGGGGGCGCCTGCGGGGGTCGCGCCGGTACTCCTGCAGGGGAGCCGAGCCGTCAGACGAGCCGACAGTGGCCGCAGATGGTTCTCTGGACACAGTGTATATAAATATGACCATCTATATAAATAGTTCTGGAGTGCCGCCACCGTGCCACGACAGCCGTGGGTAGGTGAAACATTCGATAATTCTTAGTTCAAACAAACTTTAATAAAAAGTGCATAACTAATTTATCCTACGTTGCAACAATGACAAATAAATCATATAGATCCCAATACGAGCATGTGTCCATTGAATAGGTGTACAGACAGGTAATTGAAAATATATAAATAAATTCAAAAGCAATAACTCTTGGATTAATTAACAAAATATGGTCATGCTTTAAAATGGGTATCACTTTTTTAATTAATAATCGAAATATAAGGAAGTAGAATCGATCATTTAAAGGGCCCCTACCACCTTCAAAAAAGTTAATGAATTGGCATGAAAGTGATGTCGCACGGTTCAGAAAGTGCAAAAACGAATATCTACCAAATTTCACCGAACAATATTCACCGGTTTCAAGATAGACTTTTACTTCTGTTAACTTTTTGGGATCCCGCTGTTCCTAGCGACTTTATTTGGAAGCAATAATTTAGCAGCCGAAAGCGCGGCACTTGTTGCGCGCAAAGCAGCATATACCACCGCGTGCTACCAACCGTTTAAGTACAAGATTTAAATCATTAGATCTGCGCTGACGTCACACATTCAGAGGGGGCATTCAAATGCATTAGCCCCTCTGAATCCAAAGTGCTGCAACTTTGAGATTAGATATTTTCGATTTGAGGCATTTCTCGATGTTGTGAGTGCTCAAACCGGTAAGTGCAAGCCAGGGACCCCATTTTAGCTATCTCAACTCAAAACTAATGTTAAGGTGGGATGGTCATTGGTCACTTTAACTACAACATTTTAAAACTCAATGGCTACAGATTAAAAACAAGTACTTACGACATAATGTTCAGCACTTTCTCGCCTCCTCCGCTGGGCCCCATCGGGAGACTTCATTCTCTCCTCCGTTGTCATCTGAGGGAATTCCTCTTTGTGAGGCGCATCAGTCTTCCCGCTGGATTCAGTTCCGGGAACAGACATTGATTCCGTTCCACAGTCACGGTTCGGCTCTGGCTTCCCCACCGTCTCCGGAGGTCTTTCCTCCTTTGCCGTCTTAGCAAGATCCTTGTCCTTGCGTTTTTTCTTCTTCTTTTGGGAGTCGGGTTTGTTGTCCTCGCATGGTTTCACCTCGGTTTTCTGACTTTTGCTGTCTGAAAGTTCCTCCCTCTCTTTTTTGGGTTGCGTAGTCTCTGCTTTTTTACCTGCAGTGACAGGCAACTCTTTGTCAACTGATTTATTCTTGCCGACTACTGTCCCTTGGTCCTCTGCTTTTACCTTGGTCTCCTTTTCATCAACTGACGCTACAGACTCTACCTTTTGGGCATCGTTTCCTGGCGCTTGACCAACACCCTGATCAGCTTTACTCGGTGCCTCTTTTGTCTGTTTCTTCTGCAAATCATTCACACTTTCATTAGCAGCGTCCTGAGAAAGTTTTCGGGGCTCTTTATGTGATGTTGAATCTCGAGGAGCGGCGGCAAACCCAGAAGGCTCCTTTCCTGCCTTTTGGCTTTCGGTCGAGTCCCCTTTTCTTTCAACCGTTTCATTTTGTATAACTTCTTTAGCTTCAGATGGTATCTGTTTTCCTTCCATGGAGATGCTGTCTCCTTTATCCGCAGCTTTGCCTTCTGCTGGTTTAGACACCTCATCCTCCTTGGTTTTTGTCATTGACTTTTTTCGCTTTCCCGTCTTCACCTCAGGCTCTGGAGGGTTTGTCTCTCCGACCGCCCTGGCCAGCTGATCCTCGGCACGAAGAACCCTGGGAATCTTGTCGGGGTCGTCAGCACCCGGAGCAGACTTTCTTCGCTTGAGGTCAGTGTCGTCGGCTGCCTTATCTTCCTTTTTCTCTACTTGACCGTTATCTGGAGTCGAATCTGTTTTCTTTTCTTTCGATTTTGTTTTCTTCGCCTTCTTTTTCGTGTCGTTCGTTTCGATCTTTTCGATGTTTATTTCGTTTACTCGTTGCTGCTCTTCATCGCCTGGAGACTCTGTATCTTTTTTGGGCGTAGCATGTTTATTTTCTTCCAACTGATGAACTTCGGGAGAAGCAATCTTTTCCTGCTCCTCTTTCAGCTTCTTTGGTCTTTCCTTCTGAGCTGAGTCGGCATCCTGCTCACCAGCCGAAGATCTAGTTTCTATATCCGCCTGCCTCACCTCATCTGTGTCCTTGATTGTACGTGTTGACTGATCGGCAGTATTTTCACCGCTTCCCTTCTGCGACATGTCGCAGGTGTCAAGCTGATCCAACTTAGGCGTTACATGAGAATCTCGCTTCTCGTCGCGTTCAGCCACAGTCTCCTCACCCTGTTTGTAAGCTTGGTGTTCGCCATCTGCCGCCGACAATGGGTCTGCAATGCCTTCTGAGGAAGGAGCAAGACCAGCGTTTGTGGTTTTACTGCTGTCCTCCTTCTCTTCTTCAGTAGGCAGGGTTTTCTGAGGTCTTATTTCAAGGTCAGACGAGTCCTGGGATTTGACTTTTTTGTTTAATTTCTTTGCCTCCATCTCTTCCTCCGGCGGAATAATTCTTCGTTCTACGATCAGAGACGGGTCGAGCTTTCCACTCGTTTTTCTGGGCTTACCGGCTGCTCTGTCAGCGTCCTCAGTTTTGTCAGACATGTCACCGTCACTGGAAACATCATGTTTAGTTTTGACATGTGTCTCGTCTTGCTGATTCACAACATCCTCATCTTTCTTTTTCTGCTCATCCTCAATTGATGTGTGTTCCTCGGTCTTTGGGCGCTCTTCCTTCACCGTTTTCGTCTTTTCGTCAACAATTGATTTTTCGTCCTGTTCCTCTTTTTCCACAATCTTCCGTTTCTTGCGCTTCTTTGAATCTTCCTCGCGCGCCTCTTCTTCCTTCTTCTCTTTGTCTTTTTCTTCCATTTCCATTCTTTCCTTCATTTGCTGACTCCTCTCTTTCCGTTTTTCTTCTTCTTCTGTTCTCTTAGCTTCCTCTTCTTTCGTTTTTTGTTCTGCCTCTTGAATGCGTTTCTTTTTACTTTCTAATCGCTTTTCTTCCTCTTCAATTTCGATTTCATCATCAAATATTTTTAGTTCCTTCCGTATCTTTTTCATGCATAAAGCAGCGACAGCTTGCAGCTCTTCGGCTACTTTTTCGATACTTTCGTCTTTTGCAGCCGCTCCTGTTTTTAAACGGTCAGCCATTTCACTTCCCAGCTGATCCGCCTTTTCAGCCAGCTGGTCAATATCACAAGAACCACTTATTGCCTTGCCTGGAGGAACACGATCCATCAGAATTGCAAGCTGTTTGACACATTTCTTCACCACTCCGGATGCATGCTTGATGACATCACCAGACCGCATTGGCAGCGCACAGTCCCGCACTGCTGGCTCCAGCACGTGTAGATCAGTGACGCTTTTGTGGACACATTCTGCCACGCTTGCCACACAAAGCGAGTCGCGCTCCCAAAAGCTTCCTGAAGGGCTACTGCCACTCGCATTGTTGATCAACGACGCGAAAAACTTGTTGGTGGTTTTCTGTAGCGAATCGATATCCTCAGACACGATTTTCCTGGCTTCCTTGCCATGGTAAGCGCTGGTGGCATTTGCATGCTCCTCGCCAACATTGTGTAACATTTTTGCAAGTGTGTTGGTGGCTGATGTGGCCTCTTTGACGCTTCCCAAGAAGAGCTCATTGAATTCTGAGACGGGGGTCGTCTCCGCCGCCTCTGCCAGCGCCCCCGCGGCGGACAATGTCTGCTCCTCGATGTGGCGCAGCTCATTGACGCGCTCCTGCAGCGGCGGATGGACGGCAAGGAGCTCCTCGAACGGCACAGATCCGCGCATGTGCGCTGTGACAGCCACCGCCTCGCGCGCCACTGTGGCGATGTTGGCCTCGATGGTCTCCTGCGCGCGCTCCGGCAGCACGCGGTCGCCAGTGACGCCGGTCACGGCGGTCACCATTTTGGCGGCGGCGTGTCGGCAGCTGGCAGCCTGGAGGTTCACCACAGCGTCCGAGCCCGGACCGCGCTCCACAAGAGCGCACTCGACGGCATTGAGCAGTTCGCCTAACGCATCCTTGAACTCGACCGTTTTCTCTGTAACCACTATCTTGTCCTCAAGTCCTTTCATGCGTTCGACGGCATCCGAGCGTACGTCGTTACTCTTGTCAATAGCAGCTGACAAGAGATGGAGCTCGGTCGACACAGCATCGGCACTTGACCTCACTGTATTTTTGTCTGGCTGGGTTGTTGATGTTTTCAGTGCTTCACTCATAGATCGCACTGCTGCCACCAGTGCTTCTACTCGAGACGTTACTTCATCCGCAGCGGGCCTCACCATTTCTGCTATGCGGTCCTTTTGTATTTTTGTTGCCATTTTGGTGCCTCTCACGCTCCTGATAGTGTCTTGAAGGGCATCAGTAACCAGCGACAGATCACCTCCGATTGCCGCTGCCTGTGAACGGAAGCTTACCAGCTCTTCCCCGGTCTCCTGCACAGACTCTGCCGCCCCTGTTAGAGCTGTTCGCATACGCTCTGCAGCCAGCTCCGCTTCTTTGATGGTGGCAATTTCCCCTCCCACTGCACGCTGTATAATGTCAGATAGTGTTTCCGCAGCACTTGTAACCGTTTCTGGCACAGGCTTTGTCGGAAGGGGAACCCCAGGTTCCGACACTTTTGCAGATTCTTCACTGGTATCTTTAGGTGTCAAAGGCTGGTCAGCATTTGCTGATTCCTTGGCAGCGTTTGTTTCGTCAAGTACCACCTTAAGTCTGATCAGCTTGTCTTCGGTTTTTTCCTCCGAGGCCTTAGATGGCAGGATGGCGTCCACCTTCTGGTTGGATGGCTGTTTTCGATCTTCAACCGTATCAGTTCCTTCCACGGAAAGTCTTTTAAGACGAGGTACTTTTGGCACTGCTTCTGCTTTGTTGGTGGCTGGCTCATCTATACTAAGCGATTGTAGCTTGGCTTCTTGCCCAGGCCGTTCTTGTTCGGTAACACTCCCTGGCGCGCCCTTTTCATCGACAACCAGAGGCTTTAGTTCAGCTGAACTGCTAACGGTCTTCGTCACACCAGGCTCATCAATGCTCAGAATACCGAGCGTAGCCGGCACTACCACAACAGACTTTTGATCTTCAGCTGATTCGTCGATCACTAATGTTTCAAGCTGCTCGCCCGTCCCTGGTGCGCACTTTTCTTCAGAAATTTGTTCATCAACAGATAAAGTTTCAAGCTTCACTGAATCACTAGTCACCTCCGTTGGTAGAGCACTTTCCTGCATAGGTAATCTGTTGTCATTTATTGGAGGTTCAACGAGAAGCTTTTCACTTGCAGCTTTGCCAGCACTGCCATCAACATCTTCGGCACCGAGCGCATCACCCGCTGGCAAAGTCGTTACGTCGTCTTTTCCAGTCGTTTCGGCGATTGCAGACAAATCATGCTTCACATTTGTAGCAAGACAATCGCGAGCCTCTTCGGCTGATTCCGAAGAAATTGTCTCACTTGTCATGGAGGGTGCAGTCGCAACTTGTTTGACGGGAATATTGGGAGCTGGCTCAGCATTTTGAGTTTCTGATTTATCAACAAATTCATTGATCGGGTCAACCTCCTCGACTGAAACTGCTAAAGGATCTTTCGTTTCGGGCATTTTATCGACGCCATCCTGTTCATCGGACGACATCACGTCATGCTTCTTCGTTTCCTGAATGTCGGGCTCCAATACTTCGTGTTGATTGGCATTGGGAGCTGTGGGGACAACTGAGAGTTGGTCTCCAGTTTCAGCAGCATCAGTTTTGGGCTTCAGGTTTTCAGAGATTTGCTTGGCGACCTTGTCAATCGTCTCAGACACTAGCACGTCGTCTGGTTTTGGTTTTAGATTGTCTTCACTCGCGAGAGGTGTAGGCGTCTTTTCCTTGTCACCGGTGTCATCAAAAACTTGCAAAGCCTGCATGGGAGTTTCATCCATCTTTGAATTTGAACGACCATCCCCTTCATGTAGAGGTCGTCCGAGTGCGCTAGCGTCTTTGAGCGTAGGCACTGCCACCTCAGACGCCAGCTCTGATTGAACAGGCTCTTCTGTTGTCTGTTTGGCGCGTTGACGATTCTCTGGGTGGAGCAGGACGTCCATCAGATAAGGTGCCTCCGAAGCCAGCTCAGCCTCAATGCCAAACGCTTCGCTTGTCTGCGGTTGCTCCAAGGCCGAGCTAACAATGCTGCATATTCCATGAAGTTTCTCATTTGTAACTGCGTCCACTGGTTGTTTGCTTTCTTCGGCATCCTGTAGGCTTTTGGCAATTGATGATTTTTCGGCTGTAAGTGCAAGAATGCTGTCCGCTTGAGCGCAAAGATGGTCGATGCTGGCTCGGATTTGTTCTCCTTCGATAGCAAGCTCGGGACGACCGGCCACCAGGTTGTCAGTTACCGCGGAGACGCTTAGCAGCGTGTCTTTGTAGTCCTCGATTTTGCTGATCAGTGATGAGTCCAGCTCGCTGCATCCGGCGTCCGACACTAGGTCACGAACGGTGCTGGTGAGCTCGTCGATGCTTGCGAGAAGAGTCCCGCAGACTGCGCGGACCTCGAGCGGCGTGGGCGCTGCCGTCTCGTCGGCTGTCGGCGTGTGGCTGCGCAGCTGTTCCGCCGCCATCGATACGCGACCCACGGCGTCCGTCAGAAACTCTGAGTCGGCGGCCAGTTGCTGCAGTAGTTTCAGAGAGCCGATGGCAGACATGACGTTCAGAATGTTCTCCGTATCAACATTGCCGTCCCCGAACGTCTCCAGGTCACTGAGTCGACGCCAGGTGGCACCTCTGTCCCCGATCGGTGCGGTGGTGCTCTCTGACAAATCTTGTAGCGCGTCATCCAACAGCATTGAGCTTGTATCTTCATCTGCCGAAAAGAAACTCTCCGTCCGCGATTTTTCCACCGCGTTGCTGATGGCGAGGCCAACCTCCTGCACAGCACTGGAGATATTACCGGAAGCTTCGTGCACCATCGCAACATGAGAAGCCGTGATGTCAGAAATTTTATCCACAGGGGCTTCGGCCAGCTGAGAAGTAAAACTAGCGATGCTTTCTCGCAGCGTATGGATATTTGCGGATACCTCCATAATGGCTGGAGCTACTAATTCTTCCAGGACACGGTTATCCAACGGCGTTGCGTCGTCGAACGTCTGACTAGAGCCCTCAACAGAAGCTGCTAACTGAAGCACAGTGTCATTGAGCTGCCGAAGATAGGGTGATGCGGTCTCATCTCCAGTTAGCGTTCGAAGTGAGGCTTCTAGTTCGCCTATAACACCACTGATAGATTCAGCCCTAGACCGGAGCATGCCTAAAGATGGCTGGGATGACAGGGCGTCTACCAGCGCCTCCGTAAAGTTCTCAGAGGTCTCGTTCAGACTCTGGCACGCATCAAGAAGATGCTTCTTTGCGGAGAGATCTGTCGATGCTGCCTGTGCTAGTGACATGACATCGGAGGTTGATTTTATGACCGCAGTTGAATCTTCAGCCTTCAACTCTGACCTTGACGGTTCCTCTGTGGCGGTGTCATCAGTGATACTTACTGAGTTTTCTGGCTTCTTGGTTAGGTCAGACGCGTTGTTTTCTGTATCTGGTGCGGGCGATTCCCCAGCCAGTGCGAATTCAGGCACTTTTTCTGTGGAAGAATCGGATGTAGTAGTTTTGAAGCCATCGACCGATAAATCTTTTGGAACAATTGGTTCTGAATCCGGGCTAATCGCTTCTTCAGCGGATGTCAGCGCTATCGCAGAAGGTTCTTTCGATGCATCTTTGGAACCTTGCATCTTGATCGCGGATTCAAGGCTTGTTGACTGCTCCTCGCTCGTAATATTCACATCGAATGTTTCCTTCTTCTTGGAATCCATAGCACCAGTTTCGCTGCCTTCCACTGGACTGACAGTATTCTCCTTCTTCTGGGAAACCACCGCCGGAGGCTCTTCTATTGCAGTAGCTCCCGTAGCATCTAATTCTTTCGACGTGTTCTCTTGCTGATTCTCAGCGTCTTGCTTGGAAGTCAAAGGCTTCGATGAATTATCTTTGAATGATTCATCAGCGTCTTTGCATATAACTTGTCCTTTTCCGTCGGAGCATGATTCAGCCGACAATGGCTCTTGATACTTAGGCTCAACAAGATCCCGCTTTTTAGGAGCCTCTTGCACGGTCATCATAATCTTATCAACAATCGTTGCTATTGCTTCTGTTTTGCCCTCAATGACCGTACTTTCGGCAGGAACTCGGTCACCAGTTAAGATGTCCATAGCATAGGCTACCAGGTCATTGATGCTGTGTTGCAGATTCATGGATTCGCATTGTATAGCGCTTCGAACAGGAGGCTCCAATTCATGGGAGGTGTTCGCAGAAATGTCCTCAATTGAACTGTTCAGCCTATCTACGGCTGCCTTAGCCATTGCAAAAGCTTCCTGTAAGCTGGATGTGCCTGGAACACCCTCGGTGAATTTACGTTCAAGTTTGTTTAAAATTGCATTCAGCTCTTTAGTCCCAACTGCTTGTTCTGTACCACTACGATTATTGTGAAAGGACGACTCGATATCACCGACCAATTTTTGTACTGTGATATTCACTTCGTCTGTCGATGGTATATCTGTGACGTTTGTCTTTTGGGTTGCAGGAGTATTTTCCTTTGGAGGTTCTACATCGTCCAGAGATGATTTCTTTTCTGGCGTTTGAGTCAAATCTGCACCCAGCTTACTCTTCCCGTCTGGAACTAGCTGCTCACTGTCTCCACTAGGGACCTGAGCAGTCTCTTCTTCATTGTGAACAATAGGAATTGTGCCGGTCGTTGAGACATCTGCAGAAACATCTTGGCCCCTTGGCATTTCGGTATCACGAATGTCGTTTTCCTTCGTGAGGGTGGTAAAATCATTAGTTTCTGGTACAATCACTTGTTCATTGGATTGTTCTGCAGTCACACTTTCGATGTCTTCTACAACTTGTTCACTGTCGTCAACTTCCATTTCTTCTACAACATCACTCGGTCTATTTGGCAGTAGATTCTGAAGTGCTTCAGTAACATCATCAATCAGCGAAATGAGATTTTCATCATTGATTGACGTTCCAAGCTGTAGGCTCTTCCTGCTTCCAGCCACTAGGGCCATGACGGCTTTATTCAGCTTTGCTACACTTTCACGCAATTCCGTTTCAGCAGGCAGTTTTTCTAGATCACCAAGAAGGCTAGCGAGTGGCTCTAGCTTGCCCCTCATCCTCAGGCACGCCTCCATCACTTGCGATGGCATATCCTCTGTTTGTTTAGTGCACACTACCATGAGTAGCTCCAGCAATGATAGATACAGGGCTTCGCTCTGTTCGGAAAATGCCTCCAAAGACTCTGTAGAAATTCCTGGCTTTGCGACCACCATCTCACAGAAAGCTTGCAGCTGCCTTTCGAGTTTCTCGCAATTCTCAGCGACAGCGCGTCGCTGCAATGACGACTCGGCGCCCGGAGATTCGGAGCGGGCCTCGACGACGTCCTCAATGGCCGACGTTAGTGCCGCAAAGCTCTGAGCTAGCTGCTCGAAGGCACCAGGCAGAGCGGTGACCACGTCCGGCTCGCCGGTGACCAGCGCCACATGGCGAACGGACGCCTCCGCCGCGCGACAACGGTCCGAAGTTGTCTCCATTGCGGCTTCAACCGATCCGCCGTCCTCCTGTTCGGCCTCCGCCGATTTTAGCGCATACTCAACGGTATCCAACAAAGAGTCCACCGCTTCGTTGACGGTCGCGACAAAGCGAACTGCCTGCGACTCGGACACTGGAGGGCAATGACGCTGCATGCCGGCCATCAGCGACATGGCCGCCTGCTTGACGGTCTGTCCCAGGTTAGACAGCTGTCCGAGGCACCCTTTGTCGTTGCTGGCGACAGCACTGCTAGCAAGATGTACCAGTGACACTGAAGCTCCTTGGAATCTAGCAGCACGTTCATCTAATGGAATGTCTGGCTCCTTCTGCGACTCCTCTCCGATATGTTGCCTTACAGCACTATTACAGGCGAACACGGCACTATTTAATTTCTCGACAGCCTCAGAAACATTTGCCAGCTGCTTTTTCACTACACTGCCCAGGGGTGCGCTGCCACTTGTGCTCTCTTCGACGAGGATAGTCATGTTCTGAACTGCCTGTTTTAATACGGAACTACAGATACCTACGTCAGAAATTTCTTTATGAACCTTTCTTCTGGTACTGTCGTCGAGGGCAGCACAAGCTTCTGATGGTGTGTCTGCCACCGTAGCCGTGAGGGCGGCTAATGCGTCATTGAGCTGCTGTACTTGTTGTTCATCAACATGCATGGCGGTAGATGTTTGCACTGCGGCGATAAAACTCTGAACCGTTTCACACACAGACCACGTGAGATCCTCGATGGAAGTTGCCGATGGAAGCTTTAGCTGTGCCTTTTCTTCTACAACCTCAGTGAGGGATGTGACAGAAGCATTGAGAGAAGCACTAGCTTCATTCAAAGATTTCGGCTCTGGTGTAGCATCTTCCTCTTTACGTTGTTCGTCAGATAAGTCGGCCGCATGTATCTGCATTGCGCCCTCTTCTTGAACCGTGTGCTGCGGGGCTGATGCAGCAGTACCTGCGCATGCTAGGACAGATTTCTCGGCGCTGCTCAGAGCCTTTGACATCGCTTCCATATTTTCAAAAAGTTTATCAGTTGATTCGCCTGGGTGTTGAGACGCCAGCATTAGGCGCATTTGCACGATTGCCTGCTCAAATGATGTGCGGATGTTTTCCAGGTCTTGGACAACTCGAGACTGATTGGGAGACAGGGAACGCCGCTTCACCTTGGCGTCTTTGGCGATTCGAAGAAGCTCCGAGTTCTGCACACACACGCTCACCAGCTGGGCAAGCGACGCCTGAAGTGTGTTAATCTTCTGAGCTATTTGCTCCTTACTAGGTTGTGGAAGTGCAATGGAGTTGCAAAATTTTTGTCCTAGCGATTTTAATTGCAAATCAACTTTGGTAAGCATTTCTTTCAATGTTTGATCTTCGTCTGACTTTGGGGCACCTGTCACAATGTTGCAGATCAGTTTTAATGTTGTGTCGATGTTTGAACGAACATTCGACGATTCTGCTGATATTTTCTTCATTGACTTGACATCAGCAGCAACACGTTTCTTCTTTGTTGTTATGTTTTCGATAGCTATCGTAAGGTCTTCAACCTCTGCATCAAATGCCTCTCCTTGCATAAGAAACTTTGAGATGCCATCCTCGGCTGAATTAGCAGCTGCGTCTTTTACCGTTGCTGTTACATCTCGCATGTCATCCTTGAATTTGTTCGTGGCAGCAACTATGTCCCCGAGGATATCATCAAGAAGTGCTTGAATTGCCAGGCTCATTTCAGGTGAATCATCTGATTTCAAGGCACGAGCAGAATTCTCGACTGCGTCAGAAACACGAGAAATTCCCCCGTTGACACTGGCTAAGAGCCTGATCGCTTCGTCGCGGAGCTCGTCATTGGAGATGAGGTCAGTCAGAGTCACCACCGCCACTGCCAGGGACTGCTGCACGGCCGTGACCTGTAAGCTCAGGTCTGCAGAGCCAGTCATGGCACTACTCACAATCTTCTTCACGGTTTCGGCCAAATGAACAACAGAATCGTTGATGTCATCGAACTTCCTCGCAATTGAGTTATCATCGACAGGATGCTTCAGCGACCGTAGCTTCATCTGGTTGGTTTCTTCGACTGCATCTATAAACCTTTGTAGCTGATCTCCAATCGCATCCTCCAGACTCCTTCCAGAAGCACTGGATTTAGGTGACGACCCACCTAGCGAGCCGGCATCCATTGCCAGACGCTCAATTTCTTCACAGACTTGATTCACTTTTGGATAGAGTGTGCGATGCACCATCGGAGATATTCCTTCTAGTGCTTGCATTGTATCTGGATTGGCGGATGCTTCTTGCGATAGTTTGTCGTTTACTTTTACTTTGTCGCATAATTTATTCAGCAAAACCCGTTGGCGATCGGACTCCAGGCCACCGCAGAGCGACTCCAATGATTCCAAAAAATCATTGGCAAGAGCTTCAACGCGCCCTTCCGCAGCTTGCTCGGGTGATAACGTAGCAGTAGCCGCCGCGCACACAACTGATGTCAATGATTCCATGGATTGAAGTGCCTGTTGCACTTCAGAAGGCTGCTGGAGGGCTCCAGAGCCGTCGCCCGGTAGTTCATCGGACTCCTGCTGTTTTAGAGATGCCACAGTGATGACACTGTCCGAACTCTTGAGTGAAGTACTGTCTTCGCCCTGCATCTCGACATCGTCTGTGGAAATGGTTTCTTGTTGCATTACCTCAGCTACCTTGCCCGATGCAGTGTTCACATTTTCTATCTGCGACTCCAGTAGCAAAACGTCCCCCTCGGGAACCACATCCACCTGCTGTTCCTCTGATGCAGTTGAGGTACCGCTTAGTACTTCGACAGAAGGCTCATCAACCACAGGTGACTGAGATACATCCGACATGAGTTTATAATCTGCCTCATCGACGTCTGCAACTGGCTTAGCAGGTTCAGTGGCCTCACTGCTAGCGGAGGCAGTGATTTCAGTCACTTTACCTGAAGAAGAAGATGGCTCAACTTGATAACTTGTTTCAGGGAGACTAGGTTCAGGTGTCTTTGGTGTGGTATTGACACTTGTGAGCTCATGTGGCTCAATAACCTGTAACGTCTCCAACGGACTTTCTGACGTTTCCAAAAACTCAACATTTGTTTCCACCTGAAAATCATCAACACCAAGTGATGAGACGTCGGTAGCTTCAGTTGTTTGCAGTGCTGTCGAAGGTGTCGCATTTGCCTTTAGTGATTCGGCGTCATTCAAGCCTTGAAGGTCTTCCAATATCGCAATATCGGTTACTTGGGTTGACTGAAGAGGGCTGGTGACCCTATCTTCTGCTTTAGCTGATGACGCGAGGCTTGGTAAGCTCTCCGTCTCCCTCTCCACCGCACCTGTTTCCTCAACCTGCAGAATCTGAAGTGGCGATGTGATTCCCTCTCCGGCTTCAGTTGGAGTAGTGATGTCCGACATGAGATCAACTGCATCGGAGCTGACTGTTTCAGTTATTTGTAGGGGTTGCAAACTTGGTGTTTGCTCCTCCTTGACTTGCGCTGTCAAAATGCTATTGTTACCTGCGGTGTCTTGCATAACGGTGGTCTCGGTCGTGCATGCCGTCTGAAGGGGTGTAATGACTCGCTCTTCAATCGTTTCAGGTGCCTGGGATGCTGCTGTGGAGTCTGCCATCTCAGCACATGTTGCCTCGACAATCAATGTTTCTTGGAGTGGAGAAGTGACTCGGCCAGTTGCATTCGCCATTTCTACCATAGATTGCATATTTGGCGCAGAGCTCGCTACTTCAACACCCGTTTCCTGCGTCACTTCAGTTCCTACCAGCGGTGATGCGGTTCGTGGTGTGCACTTCACTGGCGACAAAACTCTTTCCAGCTCATGGATCGAGTCTTGTGGTACGTCCTCGCTTACGCAAACCGATTGTAAGATTTCCAGAGCTTTTTGGACGGCTAGTGATATGTCTCCAGGCGTCAAGATTTCCCTTGCTTCTTGTGGAGATAGAGCGCGATCGATATTGGTAACTTCTCCTTCAGACATAACGCTCTCAGTCTGTGCTGCTCGTGCAGCTGCTAATACTTTGGTGGCAACTGCTAGCTGAAGGGCATCACTACTTTGATCCCGGGTAGACGCTAATGATGGGTCCTGAATGGACGACATATCAGACAAACTGCCTTCCGATATACTGGGTGATAATGGGTCAGCGTGAAGAATCATCATGAGCTTGGCGGCCGTTTCTAGTTTATCCTCGTGAGAAGGCATCGCAGAAGCTGATTCACAGCGAATCGGTGATATCGTCCCACTAGCGTCGCTTTCAGCTGCATCCTGACGCAGCATTGCATGCAGCTCGGTTAGGATGATATCAGCTCGCCGTTTTGAATCCTCAGCTACCACTGCATTCTCTGCCACCGCGGGCGATCCCGCGCTCCTGAGTGCGAGTGCCTCCTCATCCGGCACGTAGACCCCCGATATAACACCCCTCATTATCGCCGTCACCCTTTCAATTAGATCGGCCTGGTCTTCCCTGATCTCCGCTTTACGTGACTCCGGCTGGCTCGAAAGACCAGAGAGTGATCCATCAGAAATGACTTCTTCGATCGGCGTTGTTTGGAGAATATTCAATACCTTTTCTGCCGTTGCCTTCATATTGTCTGGTGCGAGATTCTCGCCAGCTTGTTGTTGGGACAAAGAGCTGATATCTGATAGTGTGCCCTCAGACATCACATCGTCAGCGGTGGCTGCTTGAAGAACGGTCATCAGCTTCTGCACGTTTAGTCGGGGACCTTCGCTGGCACATGCCTCTTTGGCAAAAGTCGGTGAGTCGACACTCTGAATTTGAGACACCTCTTCGTCGGGGACAACCAAGTCCTGCATGGCAGCCTGGACGGCTGCAAGCACACGAACGGCGCCGCTGCGATCCTCTCTTGGTACCTCTGTGACGACGGGCTCAGTCGGAGACAGCGTCTGGGTCAAGTCGGATAACGAGCTGTCTGTGTTCGTCTCGGAGGTCAGCGCAGCATGAAGAACCGTCAGAAGACGCTGTGCTTTGTCACATGCTCCTCCAGAAACAGAACGCTCCTGTGCCACTTGTGGTGATAGTGCTCGAGGAAGTTCTGCTGTGGAACTCGTTGACGCAGTTTCCTCCAAAACAGGCGTCACCAGTGCCATGAGCTTATCGACTGTGAGCTTCGGTCCATGCTCCTCGATCGCTTGAGCAGCAGGGGGCACCAATGTTTGCTCTACCTCACGAAGAGGCTCTTCCGGTACTACTTCCCCTTGGCTAATTGCCTGAAAAATATCGATCAGTCGTTCACTAGCTTTTGCAGCTGCTTTTGATGACAATGCTTCAGTCACTTCAGTAGAAGTCACTGGTTCCTTTTGGGTGCCTGCATTCGTAACGTCGCTTGTCATGGCTTCCTGCATAATTCTAGCCGCCTGGTGTGCCACGTTTCTGGTTTGGTGCTGCACTATTTCTGTACTGGCTTCCGTCTTCACCTCCCGCACAGTTTGTGCTACTTCCGGAAGTTTTAGAAACAGCGTTAGAATCTTGTTTGCGGAAGCTTTCTCATCAACTCCCGGCAGTGTTTCAGCAGCCATTTCAAGTACATCAGAACTCAATGTTGGACTTTTCCCACGGCTCTGAATTACTTTAGGATCTCCGCATTGCGCTGTCTCAAGGACTTCAACCAATGCCTTCACAGCATTAGCAGCTTCCTGGGTTAGCGGTTCTGCAGGTGCATGCGGAGCCAAAGCCTGCTCCACCTCCTCCAGAACGCCCTGGGATAGCTCCTGGTTGGACAGAGCAGCTGAAAAGAGTCGCATGACTAGTCCGGCTCGGTCTCTTGCACCTTCCTCGGTTAGCGTCATCCGCGCCTCCTGCGGCGTGAGGGCGCGTCCGATCTCGCCGAGGTACTCTTCGGGCAGGTGCTCGCCAGTGACCACGGCGTGCATCACGGCCACCACTCCCTGAGACGTCAGGTGGGCCTCGTAGGCCTCCGGAGACACCTCCTCGTCAAACGACAGGCCTCGGTTGGAGTCCTCGCTTTTCTGCGACACAGCCGGCGAAAGAAGCAGCGGCCGACGGCTGACAGCCCCGGGTTGTGTCGGTGACAAGTCCTGTTGCGGAGCTGCCTGCTGAAGCTCCGTCGCCAGCTGCCCGGAGTATTCGTCAGGATGCGTTGCTACCTGAGCGGCAGCCTCTGTCTCTCCAAACATGTACCTACTGAGACGTTGGTCCAGCGACTCGGGAGGCAGTTCGGTAGTCACTGCACCGTCTTCTGCAAGCTGTACGTCTTCCCCGCCGAAGAACACCGGACTGAACTGTCCGTCGCGTGACGCGAGGGCCTTTTCCAGGAGATCTGCTGGCGGTAAGCGGGTGACTTCAACGTTCTCATAATCAAAGACTTCTTCGTTAGGAACTGGCGTAATCTGGCCGGAGGTGGGGTCGTCCGACGCGTAGGACGGCTCCATGGCGTCCGCGGTGTGAAATGAGTCCACCGTGGACAGCGTGTCAGCCGCGGACGCCAGCTCGCCCGAGGTCGGCCGCGGAGGCAGATCCTCTCGCTTCAGGGGCTGCGTGTTTCTCCGCGCCGCCCGGCGCTTCTTGGACGATCGTGACGAGCTCTCCGAGACGGGCGCGGGCGCTGCCGCCGGCTCCGGCGATACGGGCGCCGCCGTCTGCTGCTCCGGCAGCGCGCCCGGCTGTGCGGTGGAGTGCTCGACAGCGGCCGGCTTTGCCGCCCTGCTCTCCGGCGGGCTGCGCATCTCGGTGGGACTGCGCAGCTCGGACGGCCGGTCGGTGGGCAGCTCGGTGGCCCAGTCCGTGTGGCCGTCGGTCGGCCGGTCCACCTCGGTGGTCTGCTCGCTGGCCCGCTCCGACGGCCGGGTGTCCGGTCGCTCGGCGGGCCGCTCGGACAGACAGTCGGTGGGCCGGTCCGTGTTCAGATCGTCAATCTCGGCCTCGGTCCTGGCGTCGTCGTCGGCGTGCAGGGCGGGCAGCTGGTCGGCGGGCACCAGCGACACGTCGATGACGGTGGCGCCCAGCTGCACGTTGCCGGACATGGCGCAGGCCGTCAGCACGCGCAGAGACGGAATGTCGGCGTCACCGCCGCCGCTCAGCGCTGCCGGCAACACACGCGTCAGCAGTGGCGATCAAAACAGCGTTTCGACAACGTTTGAGCTGCTTGCCTTTTTACGGGCCTAATTGAATATTTAACATTGCTTGTTAATGTTTGGTTCATTCGATTTTTTTCTGGATTCAAAGACACAAAAATAAAAACATAAGATCGAAGGAAAAACACTGTGAGGCTACGTTTTTCCATAAGTAAGCTATGATGCCCCTGAAATTTATCTTTGTAATGACAATGAACAATTAGGCATCAAGCAGCATAGCACTTGTCTGTATGTATCAGTTGACTGCTGCAGTGTGCTACGCGCAGCACCCGTCCCAGCGCCCGGTCTGAGCGGGCCCCGCCGGTCCCGGCGCGCGGCCCGAGCGGGCCCGGTCCGAGCGGGCCCCGCCGGTCCCCGCGCGCGGCCCGGTGGTCGCTCACCGGCGCTGTGCGGCTCCTCGGAGAGCTGCTCGCCGTACGCCTCGAGGATGTCGTGCACCTGCTGCAGGCTAACGTCACCCGTGCCGAACACAGCCGCCGAGACCTCCTGGCCGTCCACCACGACAGACACCACGGAGCCGTCCAGCGCCGGCGTCTGGCGGCCGGAGACAGGCGAGACACTGACACACTGACACACTGACACACTGACACACAGACACCACGGAGCCGTCCAGCGCCGGCGTCTGGCGGCCGGAGACAGGCGTGACACAGAGGCACTGACACGCTGATACTGACACACTAACACTGACACCGCGGAGCCGTCCAGCGCCGGTGTCTGGCGGCCGGAGACAGGCGTGACACTGACACACTGACACACTGACTGACACACTGACACTGACACCACGGAGCCGTCCAGCGCCGGTGTCTGGCGGCAAAGGCCGGGCGTGACACACTGATACTGACACACTGACTGACACTGACACACTGACACCACAGAGCCGTCCAGCGCCGGCGTCTGGCGGAGGGAGCCAGGCGTGACACACTGACACTGACAAAGACGCGGCAAGCATGTATAGCAGGCTTGCTCATGCGTGTGTGCTTAACGCAATAATTTCTTATACAAACACCATTTTGTGAAAATGGTGCTATGCAATATTGGACAACGCATCAGGCATCTTTCAAGCCGAATGTGAAGAGTCAGTGCACTGGTTTACGCCGACTGCACGGCGTACCGGTGCCCTGTGCGGTTGACTTGGAGGATACCGGTGCTATGGATGGTTTACCTGGAAGGTAGGTACCGGTGACATGGGCGATTTACCTGAAAGGTGTCTGTGCTCCTAGTGGTTTACCTGGAAGGTGTCGGTGCCCAGCTGGGCGGTTTACCAGGAAGGTGTCAGTGCTCTGGGTGGTTTACCTGGAAGGTGTCTGTGCCCCTAGTGGTTTACCTGGAAGGTGTCAGTGCTCTGGGTGGTTTACCAGGAAGGTGTCAGTGCTCTGGGTGGTTTACCTGGAAGGTGTCGGTGCCCAGCTGGGCGGTTTCGAGCAGCGACATCATCTGCGAGGTGCGCTCTTCGTTGATGGTGGACAGCGAGGTGTTCCTGGCCAGGCCGAACGGTTCGCGGTGCTGCCCGGCGGCCGGCGCCGGCGGACCGTGCTCACCCTTCAGACGCTTCATCTCTGTCAACGCGCCGTGGGCAGGTCACAGGTCACATGTCACATGTCACAGGTCACAGGTCATGGACCACGGATCAAAGGCAAAGGCAACTTAAAGCACCCTATAAGACAAAAAGCACTGAGTTTGTGGTGTAATGAGAAATTGGCGGCAGCTGTGCGACTGTGTGAGCTCGGCCCGATGCCCGCGACTGCGGTGACCCGGCCCGCGATTGACCCACCCTCGAGGCCCATCAGCTCCGCGGTCGACGAGGCCGAGCCCATGCAGTTGACGGCGCGGCAGGTGTAGCTGCCCAGGCAGCAGGTGCCGTCGCCGCCCGACGTGATGCGATGGATGTCGCCGGCCTTCAGCTCGGCGCCGTCCTTGAACCACTGGAGTACCGGCTGCGGCGTCCCCACCACCTGGGGGAAGGGGTAACGGTCAGTCTCCACCAGCTGGGGGGGGGGAGGATAACGGTCAGTCTCCACCACCTGGGGGGAGGGGTGGGGTACAGTTAGTCCCATCACCTGGGAGAGGTCAAGGGGTAACGGTCAGTCCCCATCGCCTGAGGGGGGCGTCAGAGTCCCCACCACCTGGGGGACAGCGGGGTAACGGGCAGAGTCAGTCCCCACCACCTGGGGGACAGGGTGTAACGGTCAGTCCCCACGGCCTGAGGGGGACATGGGGAGTACAGTCAGTCAGTCAGTCAGTCAGTCACCCTCCACCCGATGGGAGCTGGGGGAGGGTGACCAAGTTAGTACCAGATTGACGAGAGAGTTGCAGGGTCCCCACCACCTGAGTCCCCTGAGTCCCTGGCCGCCCACCTTGCACTGCAGGTTGACGGTGCCGCTCTCGGTGAGGGAGGCCCGCAGCGGCTCGAGGAAGTAGGGCGCCCGGTAGTGTTTGGGCCGGTTCACCGTCAGCCGGCCGGTGGTGACCGCCTGGCCGGCCGGGTTGGTCGCCACGCACCGCCACTCGCCCTGCAGCCACACGGCAGGGGACAGGGCCTTCACGATCAACAGCCAGCTCATCAGACCGCCGACAGGTGGGGACCGAGTGGCGATGGGGTTCAAAGGAGCATTGAACGCTCAAAGGCCGCTGTTTATTTAACATATGTCATTATTGGATCACTGTGTTGCTACTACTATCGCTTTTATTCCGGCGCACTAACTGGCTCTTGTAAACTGTCATCAACATCAGAGAAAAGTGACAAGGTACTCAGCCTTAGCACATCCATGGAGCACTGCAGCCAGCTGCGGCCGACAGCCTGGGCGGCCGACTGACCCGAGTCCTGAGCCGGCCGGCTGGGGCAGCTGCCGCGGCCGACAGCACGGGGTGGCCGACTGTGACCCGAGTCCTGAGCCGGCCGGCTGGGTCGGCAGCTGCCGCGGCCGACAGCACGGGGCGGCCGACCCCAGTCCTGAGCCGGCCGACAGCCCGGGCAGACGGCGACTGACCTGGCGATGCAGCTGGACTGACGGACCTGGTGGTGCGACTGCACGGACTGACCTTTAAAAAAAGACCTGGTGTGGCTACACTGCCCTGGTGGTGCGGCTACACTGACCTGGCGGTGCGGCTGCACCGACTGACCTGGTGGTGCAGCTAGACAGACTGACCTGGTGTGGCTACACTGACCTGGTGCGACTGCACTGACTGACCTGGTGCGGCTGCACTGACTGACCTGGTGTTGCAGCTGCACCCCCTCCAGCTGCAGGTGGTGGCGGCCCGGCGCCTCGCGGCTCGTGGACACTGAGTCGCTCGTCTGCACCGGCTCCTTCTCCTGCTCACGGTACCACGCCACCTCCGCCTCCGGGTATGACGTCACTGCCGGTATGACGTCACACATATGTACACACAGTCAGTCGGTCGGCCGCGGAGACTGGAGGCCCACCGCGCCTGTTTGTAGGTACTGGCACCATCGGCGACCGAGGTACTTTAGGACACGATGACGCTAGTCTGCCTTTGAATTAGGACGCCGTCGACTGAGCCCTACCATAAGCCATAAACTCAATGGGTTGCTTCTAGGAAAAAACGATCAAAACTTATTTTGCTACCTGCGTATTTTCCTAGAAGCAACCCTCAATGGGTTGCTTCTAGGAAAATACGCAGGTAGCAAAATAAGTTTTGATCGTTTTCCATTAAATCTCCAGAATGACTACAGAAGTGGACTTCTGCCTCCGGCCCGGCCTACACAACTCGTATTCTTGCAACTACGACAGCTGAAGCTCTGCCCTGGTGGAGGCGTTTTTACTACACGCTCCAGTTTTTGGCGCGAATAAAGAAAACCGCGGCGCGCCGCGACGCGATATTTTGTTGTTGTTGTTGCACCTAGCCTAACATTAAAAATATTAACAAATAATGGCAATATACAATGGACCGAGTTTGTCAGATATGCGGTCGTTGATGCCCTATGTAAGCATTCACGTCTTAACTCATTTTTTTCGGGCTAAAAAGTGCGTTCTTCCCTTTGGTTTTTATTTTGCGAATTTCTGCATGGCTTCTAGGGTGTACAAAGAAAAAATTGTGTAACCGTTGCACACTATTTTGCAAACTATTTTGCAAGAAAATTTTGCAAGAAACATTAAAATCGCGAACTTCCTAATTCACGAAGACCGGAAGCTTCAATGAAAGTATTTAGCATTGGAAATACAAACCTGAAATTGCAGTGGTCCTGGTGTTCCGGATTTAATTAATTTTTGGGTCATTTCCCTCTTTTGCACACTGAAGAAATTCATCAAACAAAATCATGAAAAGAAAGAACACATCCTTCTAAGGTAGAATAGTGAGATCACACATATATGTATACTTAAAAGTTAAATAGGGGAGAGCGGGGCCAGTTGAAACACGGGGCCAGATGAAACATGGCTTTATTTTCAACAGTATGCAACATATGGCGTTGCCGACACCACTGCGCATCCGCGCTCGACCACTTCCTTTGTCAACGGCGTTTGGGCGGCAAACGGACGGTAATTTTGATTTGACACTTGTTTTTGTGTTTTTGAGGGGCGTTTGGGAGAAATCGTTTTTATGAATATTTTGTGATATCTCATATACCTTTGTTTGCTGAAAGAAGAACTCCTGGCTCCGGAATAACACCTTATTTGGCCCTTCATTCAGCATGATGTCGTCCCTCCCGCTCGTTTGACATGTGCTTTACGGCGCGTGCGAAATGGCGGGAGCGGATGGGGTCAATTGAAACGCTTCTCTGAGGGTCAGTTGAAACAGGGTCACAGGCCGTTTCAATGGACCCCGGTGACCTTTGCAATGGTTATTGTTCAGGGACTGTAAACATTAAAGGAAATAGTCCACCTTTGAAATGAGCTTTTAAACTGAAATAGTAGATTAATAGAGCTCATTTTTTGACCTCTTTTTCTCCAGCCTTTTGCTTGAAAGCACACTATAGCCTGAGATATTTCTCATTATCCTCATCCGCCCATTTTACCATAGTCTATGTACTTTATGTCACCTATTATGAGGAACTTTGCACTTTTAGCTTTCCAACGACCTATTGAATGTAGCATTTGGAAAAGTAAACCGGACAAAATATCTCCTTAAGAAAGTGGCCTTAAAGAGGAAAACATCCCATTGTTAAGGATAGGTGCAATTGACCCCATGGGCTGGTTCAATTGACCCTCGCATCGGGGTCATTTGAAACGGGCGTAGAGCTGTTTTATAAGCATGCGTTTGGCACCAAAATATGTTTGAAACATAATTTTACATATCTTAAAATGAAGCCAAAAGAGCATATTTTTTCATGGCATTGTGCATTTTTCGATATGACAACTAGATCTCGCTGTGCATGTCAATATATAAAAAGTGGTTCAACTGGCCCCGCTCTCCCCTACTTTTACACAAAACTTTTATAAGTTACACCCAACCACTCGTTGAGTCGGGTAAGCTTATGTGGTAGGTATGTAAGTAGATTTAGGTTGTAGGTTAGGTTGTAGGGTAGGTTGTAGGTTGGTAGGTGTAGGTTGTAGGTTCTAGGTTGGTTGAGGTTAGGTCAGGTTAGATTAGGTTTTTTATTTCTGCTTTCATTCTACCCGATTTTTTTTTAAGCATTTAACGATTGTATGAACAATTTTCTAGGTTGATACTTGGCTTGTGACAACATGGTGTGGTTTTTATTCAATTTTTAGCCCAGGGTGCAAAAGAGGGATTTGACCAAATCTTTAGCAATAATGCAAAACAGTCAATTATAATTGTAAATATGCTATGCTCAGTCGTTTTATCCCGCGCCCGGCTGGGGGTCCTGAATTTCACGCCCTGCTGGGGGGGGGGGTTGAACACCCCCCCCCCCTTGTAACTCGGCTCCTGGGCCACGTAGCGATACGCGGAAGGCGGCGTTCGAAAGAGCGTAAAAAATAATGACGAAATCACTTCGGTCAATTTTTTGGTCAGGTCAAAGGTCAGGTCACCAGAGGTCATTGAAGGCAAAATTTCGCCGATTTCCAGGTCGAATGTCGAAATTTTCCAAGAAGCCAACGCATAACTCGAGAAGCAATAGAGCTACAGCGCCGCGGAAAAGCGCATTCGATAGCCCTATTAAAGCCCTTTCTGAGTAATTCTCTCAGATTTAACCTAACGTCAACGGTTTTGCCTGCCGGGGGCAAAAACTGCAAAAATAGCCGATTTTTTCGGAAACAGTTTTTTCTGTAATAACTTTTGACCCAAGCCTTGTACGAGCTTACTTTTACCGGCATTGTGTTCCTCTCGTCAAGACGCATCGAATGAACTATAAGTTGACCTTGAAAGGTCAACTTGAAAATTTGACCTCAGGTCAAGGTCATGACCTGACCGGAAAGGGTCATGTTGCATATCAGTCGATCTGTATTGTCGAGCTGAACACATCTAACGCGTTTTCATCGCTCTAGCATGCCTCTATCAAAAGTTATTTGCGAAAAACTGTTAGATACCATTCGTGACCTAATATGACCTCAGGGCATAAACAAGGGTCACGGACACCATTTTCATGTTCAGTGTGTCTAAAACACTTGTAATTCGGTGCTTGGGAGTGTTTATAATGTCTTTTGTCCAAAAGAGGCGCATTTCAATTTTCTCCCATTGTCTTATAATGGGGAGGTCGCAAAATTGACCTGACCTTAGGTCATCGATATCAAAATTCTGAGATATACATTTTGTACATGCTATTGCTCTTAGCAATCGCTGAAAGTTTCAAAGCGATCGGTCACTCGGTGTAGCTATGACAGACATTGAAACTTTTTATGAGGTGAGGTCACTTCAAGTGACCTGGTGACCTGACCTTGAATGACCTTGGTCTGAAATTTTCACAACATGTGTAGAATTGATGTATGATAAGGTGTACCAAAAACGGCGGCGCTCCTTGAGATATTCGCGAAAAACCACAAGGGGGGTGTTCAAACCCCCCCCCCCCCCAGCAGGGCGCGGTTTAAGCCCTCTTTATTACTTAGGACATTCGGGCTGGGGGGATCCATGTGATCGCAAGGCACCTCGCAGTTGCGATCAAACGTAAGTTGAATCGGAACAGATATTGGAGGGATCCATCACATCGTAGGCTAAGTAGATACGCAAGTTGTATCGCAAATGGTGAAGATACGAACTAACTTTACGAATCTTCTCGGTCGATCGGAAGGCCGATCGTAGCGAAGCTTTACCTCTTTCTCAAGAGAAAAATATAAGAAATTTTCAAAATTTTCACAAAACCGAAATATATGTTAAACAAATTGGTTGATGAACACGTGTGCAAAATTTGAAGTCGATTTCTTCAAAAATGGCTGCGCTATAGCGTTTTAAATTTACACGTTGAAAACGGTCACTTGCACGTCATTTTTGTAATTATTTTTTTCAATTTTGAAGTTTAAAAAAGTGTTTTGGGCAATTTTTCGCGTTAATTGCGAAAATCTGACCAAAACATGTATCGCACCATCAATGATCCGATACGCCATCAGAGGCCGCGCCGCGGACAGGTGGGCGCGGCGATACCTAGGCCGCGTGGGGGTTACACTGGTGTTCGGGAAGGGCTATGTCAACGCGAGGCAGGCCGCGGGGGAGCCGGTTGCGGCGCCGGTCCGTATTTGTCGGCGCCTAGCAGTGCAGCGGTGCGTTTATGGCGGAGGGAGGGGAAGCGGTGTAGTGTCGGCAAGGCCGCACACAGGAGAGGGCACACGGGCCTCCCCCCCCCCATTCGAGTTGGGGCCCCTAATCTTTAGACCGCCGAAGACCATGTAAAATGAACTGAAATAATGATTAAAAAGACCGGGAGGGCCCATCTCGTTCCCCAGCAGGCCCATACGAGTCCATAAATGCCCAGTAGCGCAGCCAGGGGTATTGTGGTGAAATTTCAATGGCCCTCAAAAGACCTCAAAGGGCCCACAGATGGGGTCACCGGGTCCTCAGATGGTCTCGAAGGGCCCTCGGTTAGCGTCAAATGGCCCTCAGATGGCCAAATGAAGGGCCACAAGATGGCCTCAAAGGGCCCTCAGATGGGTTCAAAGGGCTCTCAGCCAACGTTAAACCTACCTCAGAAGACCTTAAAGGGCGTCAAAGGGCCCTGAGCTCGCGTCAAACGACCCTCCGAAGGCCTTAAAGAGTCCTTAGCTTGTTTCAGAGGGCCCCCAGCTGGTGTCAGTGAGCCCTCCTCAGCTGGCGCCAAAAGTCCATCTGAAGGCCTCAAACGGTCGTCAGCTGGAGTACAACGGTCCTCAGATGCCGTCACGCGGCCCTCAAAAGCCTCAAGGAGCCCTTATAAGGTTTCAAAGGGCCCTCATTTGGCCTCAAAAGACCCTCACCTAGCGTTAACCGGACTTCAGAAGGCCTAAAGGGCCCTTATCTGGTGTCAGAGGGCCCCCAGCTAGTGTCAGAGGCCCCCGGCCCTCAGTTGGCGCAAAATGGCCATCAGAAGGCCTCAAACGGTCCGTAACTGGAGTCCAACCGCAACGGTCCTCAGGTGCCGTCAAGCGGCCCTCAAAAAGCTTCAAAGGCCGCTTAGAAGGCAGCAAAGGGCCCTCATATGCCCCCCAAGGGTCCTCTGCTGGCGTCAAACGGACCTCAGAAGGTCTCAAAGGGCGTCAAAGGGCCCTGAGTTCGTGTCAAATATAAAAGCGCCCTTAGTTGGTGTCAGGAGGCCCCCAGTTGGTGTCAGCGTGCCCTCAGCTGGTGTCAGAGAGCCCTCAGTTGGCATCTACTGGCCATCAGAAGGCCCCAAACGGTCCTCAGATGGCGTCCAACGGTCCTCAGCTGACGTTAAGAGGCCCTCAAAAAGGCCTCAAAGACCCCTCGGCTGCTGAAGAGGCCCTTAGCCTCAAAGGAAACTCAAGAGACGTTAAACGGCCCTAAAAAGGCTTGAAAGGGCCCTCTGCTGGTGGCAAAGGGCTCGCATATGAACATCAATAACAGCTTTGTCAAAAACGGACCTGAGAGACCTTGCCGGTCCCTGGTTATAAGGGACTCCTGTCTCTTGCAGTAACCTGAGTGGCCCACGTTTACTGAGGGGCCCCTGGTTATTGAAGGAGTCCCTGGTTATTGGAAGGACCCCTGGTTATCAGAGGGTTCCCTGGTCACCTGGTGGGTCCCTGATCAATTGAAACCTCCCGATCATCTGAGCGCCCCCTGATTGCCTTGGTCTTGGCGTTGGCGTACAGTTTAAAGTCGTCGGCACACTGCGGCCTCCTCTTTCTCAACAAGTCCCTCTATTTCTTCTGCAGCGAGGGCGATTTCGTCAAAATACTCCTCCATCGCGAAGCCTCGTGCGCAGACGCAGTCTTCGGGGCGCTCGCTGCGCCAACTCTCGACGACAACTGACGGGCTCCAAATGGAACAGATGGACTCCGAAACGAACGCGGGAATGCCGACACATGATCCCTCCAAATTTACAGAGGAGGAGATGTCCCTGACAGCCCCTTTGCAATAGGGGTCACTTTTACACTATAGACGTATGGGGAATTCGACCTTATCGACATGGTACTACGAGGTCAGCTGATCTGCTTGGCATTTAAATCGTAGTAAAACTGGCATTTAAACGCTGCGAAACAACTTACGTACAACGTAGCTCCGATTTGCCCCTCTTTCTTTTTCATCCCTCCGATTTTCTTCCGATCAAGAGAAGTTTCGTACCGAGAGAAGTTTCGCAGCCACGTCCGATATAACTTACGATAGCACGGATCCCCCCAGCCTCGATTCCCTAAAAAGCAATGCCTACTTCTTCTTCTTCTACTTTGTGGGTTAGGGCGCGCAGCCGTCAAGCAATGCCTACATTAATATCTAAATATCGTCGTTTTGTCATTCGCGCGTCATAAATGCATTCAACATTTTCTGCTGTTGATTGCCTTCTAATTTATTTATAGGGTATTGTGAGCCATTATTTATATTATTTATTATTTTGCAGCATTACCATTATTTTAAAATAAATCAGGTACTTTCTTCCACAAAAAAACTACACCTTATTTGAAAGAAATACAATATCGGTTGCATTTTATTGTTTTTGATTGCAAAGTATTTTTACTGCCTAAAAATACACAAATAATTTTTATCGGAGGTGCCGCTCAAGATTCCTTTGGTGCCGCTCGGTTGCCGCTGGCGGGAAGTTCGCGGAATTAGTTTGCATGCAATTTGAAAAAAATGCTTCTTATGAATTGTAAACTAGGGGTGGGGTAGGTAGGGGTTGAGTTAAAAAAGGGCCTAACATACAAAACACTTGAACACCCCGCAACTATCAACATCCCTTACAATTTAATTAAAAACAGCTACCCAAATCTACCCAAATAATACAGCTAAAAATACAAGTCAATCACCCACACTAATGCACCCGTAACATAACATAAATCAAAACATTCAGTTATCGCGTAAACCTGCAGGTACCTCTAGTGAATTGTAAATCTAAAAACTTTGGTAAATGCAAGGTAAATGCAAGTTTTTAGAGAAATAGGACTCAGGTCATATTTGTACACGGTGGGGTGGGGGACACTGACCTTCCACGAGGGACCGTAGGGGGGGAGGGGGCGACGAGCTTCTGCACGGTGGAGCGGTGGGGTGGGGTGGGGACTGGGTCATTGACCTTCCACGGTGGAGCGGCGGAGGGGGGGCAATGACCTTTCACAGTGGGGCGGTGGGGTGGGATGGGGACTGGGTCACTACACTCCACGGTGAAGCGGTGGGGGTACTGACCTTCCACAGTGGGGCGGGGGGGGGGGGGACACTGACCTTTTACGGAGTGAAGCGCGGGCTGGGCCACTGACCTTCGACGGTGAAGCGGTGCCGGTCGCCGATGCCGACCACCGTCTCGGGGCTGAGCGCGCGACTGAAGCGGGGTGCCAGCTGGCCCTGGCACACCTTGCAGCGCTCCTCGTCGCTCAGCTGGTTCTCGATGTCCGCCAGCGTCAGCTCGGCCGTCGACTCGGCCGTGCCCATACAGTTGCGCGCCAGACACGCGTACACGCCTGGCAACGACGTGCACGTCACAGTCAGAAAAGTGCACCACCAAAGGAGTGAAAATGATTTATTCATTCCCGATTGAGAAAAGCAGGTTGCACACTTTAGTAGAGAGCGCAGTCATTTGTCCGTGTTTTTGCTTTTAGTCTAATCCCAGACAGTAGATATAATTTCATTCTGTTGACAATTAAATTATGCTCTCTCACCTTGCCGGCCAACAAATAGACAACCCCCTTCCCCCCCAAAAAAAAACATAATCGACTGACTGATAGGTATACATGCGACTGTAGATACTAATATGATACGCACCCAGTTCAATAACTTGATCCTTGATGGCAGCAAAATTACGGTTGGGAAGAGAGGAATGAAATGACGATGTAGTTTCAAACAATAACTTCAGACAGTTTGGATATGTTCAGCATTCCACGGAACCATTTTTATATTTAACTAGGTGTCCAGCATTACGCGCAGCGTAATAAACCAATTTTCAATAAAATCGGCCTAGTAGCGGCCGAGTTATGGCCAGAATAAATTTGGCGTCTCCTCCTGGCCGGCGGTGCTCTGTTCCGGTATTCATTGCCAAAGGTCAGTGACCTTCCGGCTCTGATTTCACCCAGTTTGGCAAGCGAAGAAACTGAGGCTAACGCGCGTGCTCTCTGATCGGCGCCGGCCGCGGCCCAAAATGCGGCAGAGATGCACCCGCCACGTGCAAACCACCGAACCCACCCCCACCAAAATTTAATACAACAAACAGATGCACGCGTCCGACTTGCGTCGAAAATTTCACCCCCGTAGCCCGCACCGTTCCGGAGCAATAGCCCGCCAAGCGTGACTGACGCGTTACATACATACATACATACGTACAGACGTTTTGATTTTTATATATGTAAACTAGAGGGACAGCATTACGCGCAGCGTAAAAAGGGACAGCATTACGTGCAGCATAATAAACCAAG